AAATAGTCTATATTTTTATTATACACCCTCCGGCATAGCAACTTCTTTGATTTCATATAAAATTTAAATCCAAACCTAAACTTACATAGTATCTTCTTTTATTACTTTTGTTTGCTAGTTTTTAGTGTTAATTTGTAATGGTCTCAATATTTATGGTGGAACTAGTTTTTTTATAGTTGTTTAAATTCTAGAACAATTTGTCGCTATTATAAAAAGACATGTTGCTATTGTGAAACTAATTTTGTGCTATATTTATATTTTTATGAAATTAAAGTGTTATATATATTTTTTTGTTATTTAATTGTGTAATACGTGGTCCTAAACCGATCCAATCCGTGTTTAAATGGATTGGTTCGGATTGGTTCCACAATTTAAACGGATTGGACTGGTTCTAATTTTTTAGGATCCGTAGATAACGGATTGGTCCTGGTTTTACTTCAATCCGGTCCAATCCGGACCATGCTCACCCCTAGTTTTGATAATTCAAATCATTCATATTTTACGGCTCATTAAGTAGAATATTCACACAAAAAATAAGATGATCGGATATCAGTAACTATATATTTGAATCAAATTTATATTATAAAAAATGAATGATTATTCTTAAATTATATTTGTCATGTATTTAATTAAAAATGAATATGATTCAAATATATAGTTATCGATATCCAATCATCTTGATTTTTTTTACATAAATGTTCTACTCAACGAAACAAAAAAATTTTTTTTTTTCCCTTTAAAAAAAAAAAAAAAAAAAAACGATTTCAATCATCAAAATCGATTTCAAAATAAGCTTATCAAATCCAAACATTCTCTCAAATTAAGATGATAATTTTAAAAAAGTCAAACCGGTCTAGGTACTCCAGAGGAGTAATGCATTTGGTTAATGCACTAAATTTCATGATAATAAGTATAATGTCATTTAAAATATAATGTTTATAAATATTGTCAAAACTAAAAAGGCACAAGTAACCCCTCCTTAAAAAAAAATAAAGCAAATTTATATCAATAAAACAAATTTAAACATATTTTCTAGTGTATTAAGTTTTCAAGTTAAACTTAACAAGTGTCTTTAACACAAAAGTAAAAGACAAATAATTTGTAAAACACTATACACCTTTCACTAATTTCAATGCATTTTTATTAAAATTAATACATTTTTTAATATTTTTACATATTTTAAGAAACTTTTTACACATTTCTCAACATTAAATAATACCTAGGGGACACTTGTTAGCATTTGTCAAACTTAAATAATCTTTTACTTGACTCATTTATAGTTCTTGTTGTGAGTTTGACTCCAATCCAAAGGGACCTGGAGATTGATCCCGAGTTAGGGATGACAATTTTTCCTTACCCTGCCACGCACGAGTTTTTAATTGTTTGGAAGTGTTGTTCCAATTTAACTTTTAGTTATTCCTCTCTATACTTATGCAGTTTGGTCCTTAGGTTCATAACATGTTTCATTTAAAACACACTATTATTGCAAATAGAGAGTTGCTAATAGTTCCCATCATTTGACTTAAGACCAACCACCTGTCAAATTGATCCCCACACCTTTTTCTTTAAGTCCCATCATAAATCCAAAAATGCCCTTGTTTTTGTACCCTCACCTTAGCTACTTAATTTCCTCTGGTAATCCTCTCTCCTCTGACAACACCTTTATTTCGACAACCTTCACCCCTACCACTATCACATCCACCTCCGACCACCTCTGCCACTACCATCTCCAGCAACCCCTCTAACACTTCTCTACCCTCCTTAACAACTCTCTTGTCCACCCACGTCACCTAACTTCCCGTCTAGCCATTGCAGCAACTCTACTCCACTTTGTACAACCCTCTCCCCCCACCCTCTGTTGCCACCAACCCTCGCAAATCCCACCCCCTGCAGCTCTCTACTACATAAGCAATGTAAGATTGACGACAAGCGAGTTGAGATAGAGAAAAATGCAAGATTGGCGGCAAGCAATGCCAAACTAATGGCGAACAATAAGAAATCAGTAACGAGCGACGACCAATCAATAGAGACTAATGATGAGAGAGAGAGAGATTGGGAGATCGACAAATAAGGGAACTGGGGTTAGATGGCAAAGATAGGCATGGTGAAGATAGAGAAGATTCTTGGAAATGAGACGAGTGGGGAAGATGCCAGCCAGAGATAATGGGGTGGGGTCAAAGTAGGATTAGGGTTAGAGTTAAAGCTTGGGTTTGGAAGGATATGAACGAGGTTAAATTAAGAATTTCATATTAGGGTAAAATTGTAATGAAAATAAATTAAAGAGATGGGGGTTCAAAGAAGGAATGTAAGGGCATTTAGCAACATTCTACAAATATTGTGCTTTCTTTTGGTTTAATATTATGTTTTCCCTCCAAGATTTGTTAGATCTTGTTAGTTTACATGTTATACAAAGTACGACCAAAACAATTGTCATTTAGAGAAGCACTGCTCATCTAACTTAGGTTAATAAATGATTTCATTTAAATTTGGTTGACTATTATTTTATTTTTTTTCCCTAATTTTATCAAATATTGTCGGTTAATATGTTGTATAGAATACAGGTAAATAACTATCATTTAAGTTATTTTGAACAAAATAATTCCAAACAACAATCATTTAGGAAGACGTTAACTGTTTGACATAAGTTCATAAATGATTTCATTTAAAATGAACTTTTGATTGAATATTCTCTTTTTCTACAAAATTTTTCAAATCTTGTCAATTTACATATTGTACAGAATATGCCAAACAACCATCATTTAGGTTCTTTTGTACGAAATACGGCCAAACAATTATCATTTAAGGAGGCAGCGAGTCTGACTTAGGTTCATAAGTGATTTCTTTCAGTTGGATATTGTTTTTTTTTTTTTCCCTTCAAAATTTGTCGAATCTTGTCTATAGATATGTCGTGTACTTCATTAATAACAAATTATAGATCAATTTCGCTTGAATAACAGTATTATTGGTCAAAGTGTTGACTTTTTACTTTGTGATGAATTAGAAGGAACAGTCTCACTACATCTCCTAATTTAGACCCCCTAATTTTACCCCCATTGACTTAGCTAAGACTCATGTAAAGCGGTCTCACACTCCTCTATCTCTCGCCTTTAGCTCCCCTAATTCCACATCATTGGGGGTAGAACTGGGAGGGCAAAATTAAGATGATAAATTATTTTTCTTAGAAGGAAATGGATTTAAGAGATGAATTATTTTTGCAAGTTCATAAACTTTACAAGTAAACTAAGAGTTACTAGACTTGGAAGTCAAAATAAAGAAGGCCCCAAACATCTAATCCATAATAGCTCTCATATTACCACTTGGTGAGACACCCGTTGCAAAACCCTTTTTAATAAAACAAAAGATAAGTGGCCTAATCTACAATGTTAATAATTCAACTTTTCAAAAGGGGAAAGGCTTGCTTGATTTCAACAAAACCTATAACGATGAAGGAAATGAGATGGAAAGAATGTCACATTATACTTTAATTATTTTATTGTAATGCTAATTGATAAAAGATTAGTTGCCAATTTAGAAACATGAGTAAATGAACTTTATTTTAGATGTTATATATTGGAGCCCACTTGAAATCCTTGAAATGACCTAGTTCCGATAGAGTTGGTCCTAGATGGGCTGAATAGACTAATTTTAAGGCTTTTTTACTGGTTGGTCCTGCTTTCAAGAGCTATTCATGTTCTAGTCCTAAAGTTTGTTTTTCTGCACCAATAAGTCCCAAGACTCTTTTTTTCTTTCCGTTTTACCCATGTTTGTTGCTCTCTCTCTCTCTCTCTCTCTCTCTCTCTCTTCCTCTAATGATTTCTCCAGTCAACACACGTCCTCTTTCGTTGCCTTCATCAACGCTCGCCTCAACCACCACCGTCCTTCGCTTGCTATCACCATCACTCTCTTCCATCATCGATCTACTATATTCAACGTTGAGTTTATATATTGTTCTGAATGAATGTGGAGATTGTTTGTGTGATTTTTTCTTCAATTATTTATTAATCACAATGTGGAGATTTTTGTGTGCTTGTTGGAGATTATTGGGTATATATTTATAGCATTATATATTTTGAGTTATAGTTTCAGTGATAAATTTATTTATCACTGATTTTATTCAATATGTGGTTGTTGCTGTGATGGAATTTTATATTAATAAATTTATCATTTTTGTCAATGTAAAGGGATAAATATGTAAGATGGTCAATTAATCATTTTTATCATTCTATGATCAATAATCGAATTAATTTGTGATTCAATCATCATTCAACAATCACTAACACTGTACAACCAAAACATTGATGAATTAATAGCAGAGAATTCAACAAATTTATTGATAAATTTATCAGTGATAATTAATAATAATCAATGATAAATTATAGTGATAAATTTATCACTGATGAATTTATTCAGGCCGATTCTTTTATTTTTATGCACAATATATCTAAATCTAAGGTTGAAGATTGTAGATCGGCGTTGAAATTGACCAGATCTGAAGTCACTAGTGAAGATCGGTATCAAAGATAACAAATCGATAATTGAGGAGGATGATAGTGGCAACAACAATGTTGAAGATAGTAGATGGATGATGGAGGAATGGTGGTGATGGCAACAAAGGAGGAGGATGGTAGTGTGAGGCGAGTGACGGTGAGAAAAGAAGACGAGGATGATGGTTGAGACCCGTGATGTTGATGATGACAGGGGAGGATGGTAGTTGAGGCCCATGATGTTGAAGGCAACATAGGACAATGATGGCTGACAAAAGGTTTGAGCCGCCTGAGCGTCATTCAAAGAGAGAGTCAAACGATTTAAAGATAAAGATAGGTAGCGGGTTTGGGCTAGGGGTAAAATTAGAAAAATGAATTCATTAAATTGGCTGGACCTAGCAATTAATAAGTTCCCTAAGTAGGATTAGCCCATAACTCCCCCCAATTTTAACTATGCAGTTATGAAAAAACCAATTGATTCAAATCTAACTAGAACATTATCCATCAACCAATCAATTAATCAAGCAATCAATATGGAAATTAAACAATTTAATCCATCAATTCATCTATTAAGCAATTCAATCAAACACAAATTCTATGGAACAACTATCTCGCGAGATGAAAACCATGATCCTAAGACTCTTAACAAATCCACTAATGAATCAAATGATTACAAGACTCAAAATGAAAAAGTTACAACTCTTGTCCAATTTCACCTATGTCATTGAGTTTGCCACAAGCTTAATCTCCCCTCCAAAGCTATTTTGATGACATTAACCCTGTTGATCCAAAAGCAACCACAAAACTCTTTGATTCAATCTACCTCTTCAACGTCTTTTGTTGCTCATCGGCTATTACTCATCGCCCTGGTGTTATAAGAATATGAAAATTGTGTTAAGGTTTTGATTTGTAGAGAAACAATCCATGTGAAACTATATATATAATCATCTCTCTTTTTCAAAAATGATGAAATGTGTTTTTTTTTTAAACAATTTAAAGGTAAAATGATCATAAAATGGACCTGAAGTATGTTAGCAACACTTGGAACTCATATCAAGCATAAGTTTCGACATCTTATGTACTCAACCCAGGCCAAACACCTGTCGAGCACTAGCCTTAACATTTCAGGCACTTAAGCTCATATCAAGAGCATGTCAAGTAGCACTTCTAGGGTCTCAAGCCCTTGGGCCTGTTTTTTTATGTGGAACCAGATATAATGAGGTGAGTCCCACATTTTTTTTGTCTTCCTATATCTCGTGTTTAGTTGCTTCGGATAGTATATAATACAAAAGGAAAAGATATGCAATACCACCCCCTATGTCCTATTTGTTTCACTGGATATAATATGGAGGATATAATATGATGTGAAATTTAGTCAAGATATATAATAAATAGGATATATATATTAGATAATATATCCTCCAATTCTTGTTTATTGACTTGATTTTTTTTTTTTTTTTTTTGAACAGCAAAAAACAACCCTTTATTGATGAAAATTGTTAAAATGAAATTACATCAAATAAAGGAAGAGGAAGTGCAAAAGGCATCAAAGCAAACCTCACGATCCCAACTAGGTTGGCACCGCGAGGAAAGCCCAATCATTTGCCAACACACCACAAGGTTGAGGAGAAAACAACCACCAGATACATAGAAAAAACCCAAAACAGTCCACCAAACAATCTCCCCTCTGCAGCAGTCCAGCAGACCACTCCCACGACCACCAAACAGACTCCCACTGCATCAGTCCAGCATCAGACCATCAGTTCAGTAGACCACTACCACTTCCACCATCATACACCATCACAGCAGCTGGCCTGCTCAGATCACCCTCAGATTCCAGCAGCAGACCACTCCCACAACCACCAAACAAACTCCCTCTGCATCAGTCCAGCATCAGACCATCAGTTCAGTAAACCACTACCACTTCCACTAACATGCACCATCACAGCAGCTGGCCTGCTCAGATCACCCACAGATTCCAACAGATTCCAGTGCATACAGATCCCAGACCTCACACCAATGCAAAGCCAGAGCAATATACAGCAGAATACAGAGCAATACAGAGCAATATCCAGGCCACTGACCAAAGCATACATCTCCCAAACCAAATCTGATGCCTTAGAGTAGAAATACAATCCTGTTGCCAAGAAGAACAAGGAATTGGATGATGGACTGATGCAACAAGCCTCACAGTGATGCAGACCACACTCCAGAAAAAGCAACAGCAAAGCACAAGGTCACAATCCAAAGATCAAGGTCATCTCAGTCATCACCAATGTAAATATATAACACTAGATATATCTTATCCGTGATTGTTTTACAAAATATATTGTGGGATATAAATAAGTAATTTTCAAGATTGCCCTCATAATATATTTTAATACCCATATTGCCCTTATACCCAACAAAAGGGACACCATTCAGTTTAGGAAAATATAACACCACCTGCAAAACCAATGCAAATAAACAAATTAAAAATTCATATTATTTTTTATTTGAACAAATTAAAGATTCACATTAAATCCAATAATTTTTCCAAACAAAAAAACTTTTCCAAACAAAAAATATATTATATTATATTATATTAATGTCAACCTGATAATGACAAAAAATAAAAATAAATACCACAAAATCATTTTAAACAATTATTTTGATTTTAAAAATAACCATCACTCATTTATCATCCCACATCCATCATTCTTACAACAAAAAAAAAAAACCCAAGCAAATAAATTATTTGAAAAAAAAACTAATATTCATTCTAAAAAATTCTATCTTACAAAAATAATCATCATTGAATGAAAAAAATAACATCTTCATTCATTCATTCATTCATCGCCCATCATCATTCTTACAAAATAATCCAAGCCATTATAATTAAAAATAACCATCATTCATTCTAAGCAAATTATAATATTTTTTTACAATAGACAAGTTAATATTTTTTTTTTTTTTGATCTACAACAAGTTAATATATTAAGCATCATGATTGTTATCATACATCATATTTCATATATGCATGTCCACAAGCATACTTATAACCTCAACAATTACAACAAAATTAGGCACAAAAGCCATTTGTAGGGGATTTACACCAATTAGTTTGTCAATATATGTCTAAACCTCCCAATTACTATGCAAAATAGGCACTACACACACTACAAAAATTTACGCTTTTGGCAACAAAATTTTTAGTCTCCAAAAATCATGTTTTAGTCACCAAAAAAATTTCCCAACTAAATAGTTTGGTCACCGGCTTGGTTGCGGAAAGATCGTCGGGGGAAGGGATTGACAACTAAAAAAAATTTAGTGCCTGAAAGTGCTAAATCGACTACAAAACAATTAGTCGCCAAAAGTAAAGGTATTAGCGACAAAAAAAACTTTAGTCCTTGATAGGCTAAATTGGCGACAAATCTTTTAGTCGCCAAAGGCTTTATTAATATCACATTTTTCGCAACTAAAACATTTAATCGCCAAAACTAAAATTATTTTCCACAACTAATTTATTTAGTAACCAAAAAGTTTTTTTTTTTTGTTCATCGTAAATTTTTTAAGCTACTAAATGGTTTGGTCCCCTAAAGTGTAATTTCTTTTAGCTACTAAAAATTTAATCGCCTAAAATCTATTTTTTTTTATTTGGCTACTAAAATTTTAGTCGCCAAAATTTTTTCTTTTCATTTTATTTTTTTTTAGCTACTATTTAGTTTAGTCACTAAAAATATTTACTTCTTTTTTGACTACCAATTATTTAGTGGCCAAAAACATGATATTATTATTATTTTTTTAATTTATCCATAACATAAAACATGGTGTTAAAATTATTTTTTTAATTTATTTAATTTGTCCATTATTTTTCCAAAAAACAAAGTTCAAAACCAAATCTTCAATCATAGAAATGTGATTTTTACAAGTTCAACTTCATTTTGAATTGCTGAAAGCGAATAGGTGCACCCACCAATAACATACTTAAAATCCGCCATCAGTTTCCTATGCTCTAGAGCTCCAGTAGGACGACCCCAAACCAAAATTGTGTGATTGGCCAACATATTGAAGAGACTTATAAAAAAAAAGCCATCTTCTCCTCCCTTGACATATCCTGTAGATCTACTCTTTGAAGCTCCTCAACTATTCTTAAATACGTACAAAAGATTTTTTAATTCAATGGCCACAAGTTCTTGAATATACATCCATGTTCATAAAATCATACACGTTAATTAAAATGCCGCAATAAGTTTATCCATATAAATCAAAGGTTCCAACAAACCTTGCAAATTCCTCACTCCCATGGATACTTTTGTAATCAACATGTTTTCCATCTTCCGTTGCATAAGCTTCAAAGATTGCATACGACCAAAATCCAAGCCTTGATGAAATTTCTATTATCGGCTTTGGCTTTACTTCTGTTATAACCCTTGGAATGTTGTGACATTGAGACATAACAATAGGATCATGATCCAAGAAACGGTACAAGTGATTGCCATCTTCAAATAAGATCTTGCCAAAGCAATGTAAAACCAGCACAGATAATGAAAAAATATAAATTTCTATCAGAAATATGAAATCATGTGTTTGTTTCTCTGTTTTTGTGTGTGTGTGTGTGTGTGTGTGTGTGTGTGAGAGAGAGAGAGAGAGAGAGATTAACACATTAAAAATTTGAGTTTAGTTACTCACTCAAGAACATACTGGAAGAAGAGTTTGCTTGCAAGGTTTCAACCAAATTCTCTAGCCTATTTGCAACACAGGAACAGATAGAAAAATGGTCAGCAAGGATAAGGCAGAAAAATCATAATACTAAATGGCAAAAATGGAATACTAAGATGGTCTCAATAAGCAATCAGCCAATTACATTTAACATTGATTAACATTGTTCTTTCCCAAAGTGAACTATAAGCTATAGCTTTAGGACAATGGGAACATAAAACTATCTCTGTGATCAATCTGAAGTAATTGTGGCATTGTCTAAATGATCAAAATTGATGAAAGTTTCTTTGGTATGACTAAGCTTAAAAAAAAAAGGAATTCATCACTCTCCGAAAGTTCTTTGGCACAATTGGGAATACATAAATGATAAACCCAAAAAAATGGAAGGGAAACCAAAACAATCTTTTACCTCCATACGTAATAAAAAAAAATACTACAAAATCCAAATATCTATCACAAATTAACAATCTATGGCTCAAGTTTAACAATAAACTCCATTCCTCCATCCCTTCAAGATAACTAAGTGCCTCTCAAACTGTCAAACCCACTAAACTCCACACATATAAATATATAGCTAAAACCAACATCCTAAACTATCTAACAGCAACATAGGTCTAAAGTAAGCCCTACATCATACGCCAACATTTGTCAGATGATGCCAAAATAATTTGAGGCTTTGATAATTTAGAGCATCACAATGACAAGCTTCCAACTAACACATTGAGTGTTTGTGGCTGGTATTCATATAATAAATATAAGTTTTTGATTAACTAGCCCATTTAGATAGTGTGCTATAAATTCATGCGTCGGAAGGGGGGGGGAGGGGAGTTCAGAAAGAAATAATAGAAAACTATGAAACTCAAGTAATACAACCAGAAGGGTAGAATTCTTGGATTGGTGATGCTGGATCAGTCGTCAATCTCCTGTACTCTTCAGGCAGAGCAAGAGAACTGTAACATGAAAGAGATATGCTCATACAGTACCAAATGCAGCAGAGAGAGAGAGAGAGACAGAGTAAGAAAGTAATACAGACCTTGCAGCAAGCAATATAGCGATCCCGGTCGTCCCTTTACTGTTCTGTTGTATTCCGGACTCGGTTCCGTGGAGTTGGTAGTTGTATCTATCTTGTTGTCGTCCTTTAATTCCATTTGTTTGAGTTTTAGGATGTGTTGGGCATGTTTCGAACAGGTGGGTTGAACCTTAGTCTGAAATCTTGTTGCCAGGTTTTTGGTCGTTCCGCTCGAGCGGGCCTTGTTGCGCTCGAGCGGATATTGCACACTCCCAGTATTTCGTGTCCCTGCAAAACTTCTGCAGGTGTGATTTTTACGCTCGAGCGGTTTCTTTACGCTCGAGCGGTCGCGCTCGAGCGGGTACTCTGGCGCGTCGAGCGGGTAGTACTTTTTGGTGTAAGTTCTGGGAGGGAAAATCTCATGCTCGAGCGGACTGGTTTTCGCGCTCAAGCGGATGTACTTTATTCTTGTGTCTTGGCGCTCGAGCGGGACTTCTTGCGCTCGAGCGTACCTAGTTTTTTTTCTTGAACACTCGAGCGTTGTGTTTCCGCTCGAGCGGGAATGTTGTATATCAGTTGGCAGCTGGGCTTTTAAATCACTTTTTACATTCTCTCTCTCTCTCTACTTCTAAAAAGATATTTTGAGAGTCCTCTCTCTAGAACTCCCTCTCTCTAGGGTTGATCTATTAGGAGTGTCTCACTATCCTCCGGCCTTTGTAAAAAGTGTGTGGATCGTCGAGAGGCTCCATTTTTGATCCGTGATCTTTGAGTTTAGAGGCATTTTGATTTTCTTCAACTTCCCGTGTTGAGCTCTAACTTCGAGGTAGGATATCCTACTCCTTCTCATGGATTCTGTCTTTGAATTTTAGTATTTTGATGAGTTGGGGTTATTGGGTAATTTGAGAAGTTTGGGCCTTTGTGTAATTTTACAAAAATTGGGATTTCGTTATATAAACTTATATGCATGTTTGGCATAGAGAATGAATCAATATTGGTTATTGGTGAAAATGGAACCTTAGGGTTGTGATGTTAACTATGGAAATGCTCTAATTACATTGATAAATTAATTGGTATAATAATTTGAAGAAAAGAAGAATTAAATTGAGAATGTTGGAATTGGATGTGTATGGGATTAAAGGGTGTAGTTTAGATTCGTCATGCGCTCACCTAGTGTAAATGTTGATTATATATCCATTTGGTGCATTTATTTTAGTATAGAAATAACTTGTTTTGAGCTATCGGTGGAGGATAGTCTTGATTGTTGTAGACACTGCATGATGATTAGGCAAACTAAACTAATCGACTTGAGTATGCTATTGAATATAGCAACTGGAGTAATACATAATTTTATGTATGATTGAGTGTATATGATCTATGTTTATATACATAGTGTTGTGTGGGAGGAGATAGGGGATGTACTCCACGTTTTAGGGGAAGATAGGGGATGGACCTCTAAACCGGATTTTGTGTGACATTGATACAGCACTACAATGTGTATCAAGTGTTGATTATGGAAGTGTTTGAATTGATTTGATATAGCACTAAAATGTATATCGTTATCAATTGTAAAGTATAGAAGTGAGTCTATGTCATGTTGATATAGCACCAAAATGTGTATCTTTCGCAAAGTGTGGGAATGATTTATTTGTTATTGATACAGCATTAAATTGTCTATCCCTCATGAATTTTGAAAGTGTTTTAAAGATGAGTCTAAACCTCATTAAGTTATTTGGCTAGGTGTTGAGCCTTGTTTTCAAACTCAAAGTTGGAAAGGGCATGGGAAATGAAATGTAACGTGGACTTAATGTCATGAAATCGAAATGTGATACATGTGGATGTATCTGTGTTGACCATCTATCAACTGCTAATCTTTTAGTCATTGTTCACGGCTGGTGTAGTGTTTTTCTACTGGGCTATGGCTCACCCTTTATGGGACATCATTTTCAGATACAGGTAGCATGCCACCTCCAAGGACATAACTTGGGAGGCTAGAGGCAGACAGACTGCTTTGTTATTTGCTTTCTTTTGATGTATTACATGTAAATTCAAGCCAAAGGCTTAATATGTATTGAGTTAGCACTCTTCTTTTTGTAACCAAGTGTTAACTTGGAAAGCTGTAAGCCCGTAGGGCATTTGCTCTTGTTGTTAACATGTAATCCTTTTGTAAGGAACTATTCTGATGAATAGAAGAATATTTATCTTTTATACCAATGCATGTCTAAGTTGATGGGTTTTAATGTTATTTTTTTGAGGGCATCACAAGCAAGGTTCCCATTAGCTGGTCGAAAGGCTTAAAAGGCTCTCCCAGGAAAAATGTTATTTCTAAATCAGTTAGACCATTTAGATTGGAAGCAAATGGAGCATAATGATACAGATAAAACCTGAAGCAAAAACAGGACATTTAGTTTAAATGCAAGTACACTGAAGGGCAGCAATCTACACAACATAAAACAGTAACAAGCATAAGCCTCCTTAATTTTTTTATTTTTTTTGTTGATAAATAAGCACAAGCCTCCTTAATTAAACAGGTGTATATATCATCCGTGTGGTGAGATGGAGATTAAGTATCTGCTCATATCTACCTGGTCCCAATGTTATCTTAAAAATAAGATCCTATAAAAGTGCACATCTGTAGGATGCTTTGCTTGACTTCCATTTAGACACAAAGCCAAAACCCTCTGTTTTCTCATTCAATCCACACAATACATATTGCATAATATGGGTGTACAACCTCTTCTTTGGCCATAATGTCTTTACAAAGACTCATTATTGACATATGTACTACTACTAATATCTATATACAAACACAAAGGAATATTTGCATTCCTGAATACACAAGTAAAAATGAATTATAAATCAAAAACTGACCATTGCCATGAGCAGACACCATGGTAGTAGTACCAGTAAACCCAGCATAAAACTTGTACATACCTCAAAACCTGCAATTATAACTTAGGATCATTAATTGCATTCCGTGATGTGGCAATCATATAAAACAGGGTTTGGGGAGGACAAGACCTCCACCCATAAAGTGAGAAAATAATTAAATTTGGAAGAGAGCATCCTTAGCCATATAATAAAAAATTCGCGGAAAACATTTTAGGGGAAAAAATTGAGTAAAAAACACAAATGTACGGGAAGAAACGATTGGCTACTCCTTCAAGATGATTTGATTCTTGACAATACTCATAGCAGCTGATTTGATTCTTTTCAAGATGCAGAGAATATGAATGAGGCAATTGAGACCACCCTAGCTCTAGCAAAGTGCAACACTGAGTGGTATTATGACACCATCAACAATTTAATGAAGAACTTCCATTTACAAAGATGAAACACACCATATTCAATATCTTAAATTTCAATACATCTACCTAGTACCTGTTTATTCAATTGGCAGCTGACCATGACAGCTAAAATTCAATAAACTCGTCACTAATTGCTACTGTAACAACCATAAATTCAATTTTGGTGTCCCAATTTCAACTCTACATAAATAAGAACTGAGTGTTGCATCCAAAAAAAGATCAAAGCAAAAGAGGACTCACTGAAGAGAAGCTTGTCCAAGCTCTCATTAGCTACATACTCATACACAAGCAACTTCTCCGCACTGTGCGTACAATACCCTAACAAATTGACAACATTGCGGTGCTACACGCGAGCCAACAGCTTGGCCTCGTTCTTGAACTCATTCTTCCCCTGATTCGAGCTCTGCGACAGCTTCTTCACCGCAATTTCTCTCCCATCATTCAACCTTCCCTACATCTCCAAAACCCTAACAATCACGTACAAATCCACACACACACATATATATATATAATACATCGCTCTCGCCGTTGATGGATAGACAGATATACAAATATAGAGAGATTTTAAAGAGAGAAAATAGGGCAAATCTAGGTGAATCGGTGGTCCGGTTGCCCGCGACCGCAAGGCGGAGCGGCGGAGGCGCGGCTGGTGGAACGGCAGTGAGAGAGAGAGGAGAGAGAAGCAGCGGAAAAGGAAAGGCAGATGGAGAGAGAGAGAGAGAGAGAGAGAGAGAGAGAGAAACGCTGAAGAGAGAGAGACACAGGCGTTGTTTGTGGTTTGGAAACCAAGTATATATATATATTACACCATTAGGGTTGTTTGGAGCGTGTTAAATAAATGTACTTTTTGTGATTAAAATGTTGAGAAAAAAAATATAAATGTTTGAATTAATTTTTTATGAAAAAATTTGTATTAAAAAATTGTATAAAGAAGTGTGTAGGAGAAGATTAGAGATGTGTGTTGTACAGTCGTACAATCTGCACAGCCGAATTAATGGTAAGAAACTATTGGCTACTTTTCGGACATTGCACTGAATGGTTTTGTTCGGCCCGTGGAGGCCATCACGGGTCCTACTTTGATAATTTGAATCGTTGAATATGTAGAACTTGTCGACTACTATATGCCTATAAAAAATCATGTTGATCGAATGTCGATAGTTATCCGATCCGATTTGTTTTTTTCAATCGTTAATTATAACACTATCCATTTTTTTATACAAAACTGATTTGATCATGTAGTTATCGATATCCGATCATTGTGATTTTTTATAGACATATAGTACTCAACGAGTTCTACACATTAAATGGTTCAGATTATCAAAACGAGATCCATGATGAACCCCCATGGGCCGAACAGCAATGTGTGAAAATTGAACTCAAACTGTGCAATTTTTCTTAACAAACGCTGCACAGCGCTGAAAAAACATGATTGCTGAGTTGTATGGATATGTAAAAAATTAATTTTTTAATATTTTTTTTCGTAAATAGTGATAACTTTTTAATTTTTTAAGTAACTTTTTCACTTTTTATCTTTTTGGGGAGGTACCAAACTTGAAAATATTTTTAGTCGCCAATTAATTTATAAAACCCTCCAAAATTTGAAAAATCCTTCCAAATATTTTGGTTTTTTGGCGACCAAAATTTATTTTTGTCGCTAAAAATAAGTTTTTGACTACCAAGCTTTTGGTCATCAAAGATAAAAAATATTTTTTTATTTCTATACAGCGACTAAATGATTTTAGTAGCCAAAACTCGATATACGGCAACTAAAATTTATTTTTGTTGCTGAAAATATATTTTTGGCGACCAAATTTTTAGTCGCCAAAGATAAAAAATAATTATTTATTTACTATTCAGTGACTAAATAATTTTAGTAGCCAAAACTCAATATACAGCGACTAAAATAATTTTTTTGTCACTAATTCTGGTATTTTTAGCTACTAATTTATTTTTTTTTAGTCGCTAATAATCAATATATCCCGACTAAAAAAATTAGTAGCTAAATATTATACTTTTGCTGATTAAAAAAATTTTTGGTCGCCAATTCCACAACTTTTGGCAACTAAATTTTTTTTAGTTGCCAACTTTGATCGCCAAATGTGCATTTTCTTGTAGTGACATGTGCCTCAAGATGAATAGCTAAACTAAATATTATAATATATAAATAGATATCTTTTACTAACCAACAGTAAGCACACCCACCTAAACATACTCACCAAACAACAAACATACCCATTCCATTTTGTCTTATTCAGGCAAGCTAAAGAACAAATCAACCCTTTATGCATCCTTCACGACAAGGGTAGTTGCTCTTAACCTGTCATTGGTGTTCGGTGATAACTTGACTAGTTCCCCATTAACCAGCTTCCTAACTTGAGACAAGTCATGGGCATAACCAATCTTATGAGCAATTTGTTCCATAGTAGTGTTGGTTTTCTCAAAGAATGAACCAAACTCAACAGCCATATTAGCAAGACCCTTTGCAATACCTTCAGCTTCCCTAGCTCTTTTCTTAGAAGTTGTGCTTGAGCCACCTTGGTTGTATGGAGTCCTAGATGCTAATAAGGAACAATCAGGCAAATCAACAATTGGAGTGTAACACTCCTCAGTAGTTTGGTCCTCTTTTTCTAAGGCATGTCAACGGGCCCCTCAACCAAGACTCCAGTGGCTCTATCCTTGCCAAAGAGAATTACCAATCCTCGTAGTAAGGAAAAGGTACGTTTCTCATGCCCTTGGCATCTGGCTCTCTACAAAACAACATTATTTCAAATTTTAAGTTAAGTTTTTTACCCTGACATACTTTTGCCAAACTTACTCACTGTCGACTAAAATCATCTTGTCAGAGTCATCCCACCCAAAGCCACTCAAGCGAAGCATGTCAATAAGCAAATTGTATTGCCTTCTCCAAATTTTGATATTCGACTCAATATGAGGATATGCACGAAGATCAGTTCCAGGAAAAGCCAATATGATAAGCTTTTCCAACTTAGAGTAAAATCCACACCTGAACTGACCATTGTCAACCTTCCATTTGTCACTGAACAAATCCCTCATGGCTTGGATCAAGACATCACACTCTCTTTCGAGGTCCACACTCTACGACCCCTTGATGAGGAAGCAGTTGCCTTCCCCTTACCTTTCTTTCGACATCCACTAGTAGCAGTTGTGTCATCCATACAACCATTTGCAACACAACAATAATATTATTAAGACAACCAAACAAACACAGGAAAAAGTTATGTCTTCAACAAATAACTCAAACATAAAATAAGTTATAAGTTACATATCTATATCATTCTATTAAGTTACAAGTCGCCAACTCACTACACAACATAATTATTAAAAAAATTTATATCCAATGAAAATAGTACTTAACTTTGCTTCCTATTAGCTAACCACTCATTATACATTTGGTTAGCTAGAGTGTCCCTCCAATTAGTCCATTGGTCAAATCCCTCAATTGTGTCAATGTACTCGTCCCCTGTTTCTTGATTATTTGGCAATGTGTCATCTAAGTCTACCTTCAATGGATCCACAGGCATCTCACGTTTGATGAGATTGTGTAAAAGACAACAGCTGTGATAATTCGATATTGGGTCTTGATTGGAAAGTACTCAATATTGCCCATCTAAGCTTCAGAAGACCAAAACATCTCCCTATTATGTTACGAGTCGCAGAGTGCTTCATATTGAAGAACTTCTCTAGATTAGTTGGGGCACCCTCTTCTCTCCAAGTGGACAAGTGGTAACGTTGTCCTCTATAAGGCACTAAAAAGCCCTCTCCATTAGTGTAGCCTGCATCAACTAGATAGTAGGAACCTATAATAATGTAGGATTATAGAATTACATAAGCTGAGTACAAGGCCAAAGGTTATACATAGTAAAGATATTGTGAAATGCATTTGTACCCGTTGGCATTCTCAACCCATTTGGTCTACTTATGTCATCTCTAAGTACCCTAGAATCTGAAGCAAACCTTCCCATCCAGGTAAGACATATGAATTGCATGTCATGGGAGCAAACACCCAAGACATTAGTCACAATTTCACCCTTTCTTGATCTATACCTTGCTTTATCTATTGCAGGAGCTAGCATTCTAACATAAGTGCCATCAAGTGCACCACGACAATTCTACCAAAAATTACCAAAAATAAATGACTACTTATTAAATTGTAATTATGAATATTATAACTTTTATCAAACATGAAGCATTACTAAAACTAGTATTTACCTAAAACCACCTCCACCTATCATCTGTGCACCCAGAAGTTATCAGTTTAGGTGTCTTTAGTAAGACACCTTGTAGTTGAAGCACAGCCTTAAGGACATTATTGAAATACTTACTAACTGTTTGACTAGACCTCATAAAATTGCATTAGACATTTCGATTTTTATGGTGGTGTCCAAGCACAGTCATGAACATAGCAACCTTTTCCTTTAACACAACATATTTTGAATCTGACACACCCCTTGTTCTAATAAGCCCACACAACCGCATAAAGGTATGCCTATTCATTCATAGTTATTCATCACAGTCTATGTCATTATCTCTTACCAACCTATTTTGGTGGTCAATTTGTTGTTTGAAAGAAGTAGGATTTCTACTTATTTTCCTCGTAGCCTCAAACTTTTCTAGTGCAACATGCATAATCACAATATGAACTCCACAAATATAATTCATGGATGATACAATATGTTGCAAGGCAACGTAGGCCTCAATGAGATCTCTCTTACCATCAAATCCTTTATTATTTGTCATCTATGAAAAGAAATAGTGCAATAGTAGATTAAATAAATAAAGTAATCAAATAGATAACTAAATCAATGCTAACTACTATTTATAGCAGCTTCATGTAAACAATCAGATTTGATGGAAAATAATCTTATCCACAATAAGCATTCAATATGAAGGATTATTAAGCTACAACAAGAATCAAACTTTTGACATAATTTTCTACACAATCAAATTTTTTTAGCTTAAAAAAATTTTAAAAAAATCTTAGAACTAATTTTTTTTTTGTCGTATACAAACAACCAGATTTCTCATTGTTTATGTTATATTTATAAATTAATATTTTTTTGTTTGTATAGAGATGCATAATTGTTTTCCAAATCAAGAACATATAAAAACAAGAAGCATTGAAGAAGAAGGGTCATTCAACTACAACAAAAATCAATCTTTAAACTAACTTTCCCAATATATAAAAAATCTGATTATGTAAAAAAATCAAACTCCTCATAGATTATTTGCTTCTTTTTATGTGAAGAGTTTGATTCAATCAAATCCCTAGATTTTTACACACAAAACAAACAAATTTTTATTGTCTTATATAAATAAACACTATCAAACACAGGTCATAGATGTATAAGAATTTTTTTATTTTTTTTGGAAGGGGGGGGGGGAATTAAAGCAAATCAATTAATATATGTAACCTCTCTCAGCCCTCTGATTTCAAACAAAAAGCTCAAACAAAAACTAAAAAGATATATATTATTATTATTATTAATGCTTGAATCAAAGCCCCCAAAAAAACAGACATAATCAACATACTCACAAACAAAAAACACAGAGACAAAATTAAGATACCCACAAACAAAAAAAAATTACTAAACAAATATGTAAGATAAGATAAAATGATTGAAGAAGCCTTATACAAATAAAAAAGAGTTTAGAAAGTTCAGATTGAACAAAAATCAATGAAAGGCCCACAAATGCTTTAGATAAAAATCATACACGGAAAACTCAAAACCAGAAAATAAAAAATAAAATAAAAAGAGAACAAAGTAGAAGGAAATGATGATTATCACCAAAAAAAAACTTTGCCAACAGAAATTAGCCAAAAAATCGAATAGATCTACACTAGCAAAAACCAAAGTTCTTTCTCCTACGCCTAGATGTATTGAGCAACAAATGTTTTGCTAAACCCTAGTGTGTACATATATTAGATAGACAAGAAGGATAAATTGAACTTTTTAATTCATGTCCCAGACCAAGGGATATAATATAATGGGAGGAGAGTAGTATCGTATATCCACCAATTTTGGAGAGATATACAATCCCACAATATATTATATACTCTTTAAAAAAAAAATTACATAGAATATGCAAACCCCATAATATATAATATCCAATCTCACCCTTTATATCCTGAAATCAAATAAGATCCCATTAAACTGTATATCTCCACTGTCAAATATAACTCATCTTTCATCCAAGAGTCAAATAATTACTCTCTTCTTATCTCATCTTAACCAAACATAATATAAATGACCTCACAATATATATAATCCATCTCATATCCTATTACATGTTATATCTCATTCTTATTCTTAAATATTACATATCTTTCTCAAACTCTTATATCTAATCCAAACTTGTCAGGATTAGATTAAATATAAGAGACTCCAGCTACTGTCAAACTCAAATCAAGAACTACATATGAGTATAGTCCTATAAACGGACTAATACTTAAATGTGAGTGAGATACAATAAAGTTGGGTTCAAACCAGGTTATATAAAGTGATACATTCTCGGTCAATTTCAATATAAACCCAACTCTATGATATTATTGCCTTGGGCAAAAAGAAATTACATAAGATTAGTTTCATTTTACAAACACAATTGAGGTACGTACAATTGCACGGATGTGCATTAACAGCAATTCAACTATCTACCGCTTTTCCCTTCCACTGCTTCCTTGAGTTTACTCCCCAAAGCAAATGCCAGAGGAGGAGGGACCGCATTGCCAATTTGCCTATGCCTATGCTGAATATTACCAGCAAATTTATACCCATCTGAAAAACCCTGCATGCCAAGATGAAAAGCAGATCAGAAAAAACGCACAGTTCTCACTCTATCCAAATTTGATTTTTCTTTTTACTCAATGAATTACAAATTGTTGTGAAAATCAAATCAAAATCATGTAGTTTCTTAATAATCTCAAACACATGGACAAATTGTTTGGCACACTTGATTCATGAAATCCCCTTTATTTCAAGCTCCTAACAAGGCCTAACTTGAAATGATTTTTTGATCAGGGCAATGGAAGAAGTTGCATTAATTCTAAAGTTTATGAAGATGCTTAAGTGAAAGGCTTACTTGAGATCGAGCACATTCACGTACGGTGAGTATCCTGTCCTGGTCAGGATGAAAGCACATCCCAACCTTACCCATTGGTTGTGGGTCAGTAATAGACGTTGGAAAGTTTCCTTCCCAATCCAACCTTCCAAATAAGCCCTTCCATTGATTGTGTCTTTTGGCTGTGTTTGGCAAGCACCAAGGTATCAAATCAACAACTTGTCCTGTAGACAACCGAACCTGCAGAAACAGGAAAAATAATGAAAAAAAATCTGTGATATAGCAGCCTGCTAAAAGTTCCATGAGCAAAGACTTCAATTGTAAAGCCCCAATATAAAACACACAACCAAATGATAAATGGGCATGCTGTTATGCAGAAATTGAATGGTTCCAATCACAAAAAAGTATAGAGAAACAAGCAAACACAGAACATAAGATATACATGGTTCAGCAATGTGCTTAAGTCGATGGATGGGGATTACAAAACTCTAAACCTCTCAACTAAACAGCTAAACAATGCCATCACATTTTCATATACCAAAACCATAACCAAAAAATTACAATAACTACCTCTGGAGGGCCTCAGCTTTCCATAAAATACATCCAAGTGCACAATAAAAAATGCAAGACACCACACAACAGACGGAACCACAAACCATTGGATTAAAAAATAACAAATAGTTTCTTTTATACATTCTTGGATAAAAGACCTGTTGCATAATCATGTGGGCAGTTTACAAATGCAATTCTGTGGATAGATTAAAAAACTACCTTTTCATCAGGAAGGTCACGCCAATCAGCACCTGGGCGTCTAGGTATTCTTTGGCACCGAATGAGATTGAGTTCATTCATTTCTTTTGATATGTGATCAGTTAAGGCCAGAGCATCTCCTCGGATTTTCTTTTGAAACCAAGACACAGGTTCGTCTTTGTACTGTACAGCAATATAAAAAGCAAGCAAGGTATGATACAAGGATAGAACATAGAACATTAGTAAGAAAAGAAAATTCCATAGAACTGGAGAAGAAACACCACCTCCATAATAGTTGTTGAAGCCCCATTTTTAACAGCTGGGAGCTCTCCAATTGTATCTCTAACAGTTATTGCACGGAAAGGAGCACCAGTCGAAGTACTTCGAACAGCAGCATATTGGCTCTTTCCATTCAATGATATTTTAAGCTCTGGACCAGCAAAAACATGCATTGGTTCAGGCCATTCTGGAAGTGTCTCTTCAGGAGAGGCTGCCCATATAAATGCACGTTTCCGAGATTGCGATACACCATATGCTCCAGCCTCCAAGATACCAAATCTCACCTGCCAAAAAACATAAAAATAACAAATTAATTTTTTATAAGGAAATCAAACTTTTCCTGCCATCTTAAATAATGCACTTTAAACTGGAAATGGTTTTGTACAAGTCAAAAAAACCATCATACATAAATCAGGTAGTTGATGACCAATTATAGCGACTTAAAAAGCAGTCATCAAGTAACCATGGGGGACCATGTAATTCACCATCAGTGTCTTTTCAATTAAACACCATCTTTAGACAGTTTCCAGATCAATACTATTCTTTGGCAAAGCAATTGGAAAGAGAAAATCAAAGACATTGACCTGTCCCCCTTGTCCACAGTGCATGATTTAAGAACTTTATTTTGTTACAAAATATTGTCTGTTGGCTGCTGAACTAGCTGCCTGCATAATGGGGGTAAACTTCATTTCAATAAAATGGAAAAAGAAGCAATATACCTGATAACCCATTTCAAGAAGTGAAGCTAGTGTTAACCGGAATGTCTGCCCTTTGTTATATGATACCAAGTTTCTGACATTTTCTAACAAGAAAAACTTCGGGCGGAAATACTCAGCGAAGGACAAGAATGCTAAGATCATTTCACATTGAACTTTACTCCAGGCTCCATGATTAAACCTATTCATTCCCGAAAAGCCCTGCAGAGAAGGGTGTCAGAATAGAGATCCAATACTATATACTTTATTCAAATTGCTTAAAGAATTATGTTTCACCTGACATGGAGGCCCTCCATTGATAAAATCAACTTGTCCAGGTTGAGGCAGATTATTGATCTCCTTCTCATCAAGCTTTGCAGCTAACTCGGCAGCCTCAGGAGTTGAAATACAGTCATCTTCATCCCCACATGCTGTCATGATAGCTCTGCGAATCAATTCATTGATGAGTGACCAAAGATGAGAACTCAACAAAACCAGGAATTAGTTGCTTGAACAAAGAATAAGAGGATACAAAATATTTGTTATAATAAAAATATATATTAATACAAAAATAAAAACATAGCCTGTATGGAAGTATCCAGGACAGGTCTGGTGAAAATCATTTGCTTCAAGCAACAAGGTTTAAGATTAAACGAAAAGGATGTCTATGTAAAATTGTAATGTTTTAACTTAACGTCATTGAATACAAACTTCAAGCAAAATCAAGCATCCACCTTAAAATCACATTGCAGTTATTAATGAGCATCAGTGCCTCCGGATGATTTAATTTGAAAGCTTCCCCTGCAGGTTCTTCATATTCAATTGCCCACTTGGTCAGAGACACTCCTGCAAGCATTTATAGGTTCAGAAAAGTAGTAAATTTTTAATGTTCTATGTCAAGTACTTTAAACATGAACTTGGCAGGATATTATCTTAATAAAGAATAAACAAAAAAGGAGCCTACCTGATCTTTGTAAACCTTCAGATAACCCACCACAACCAGCAAAAATGTCTAGTGTGGCAAGGCGATTTGAAGAAGACGCATTCTTTTGTTCATCAAAACCACTACCACCTTCTTTACACTTCCCCTTCTTCTTTCTAATTGTAGCATCATCCACAACCCTTTCTTTAGAAGGAGTTAGTTTAATGTGAGCTGGCAACTGTCCATTAAATGAAATTACAGACTTCAAAGGACGAATATACAGTTGCTAAAAAAAATTACAAAAAATGGTACTCATCCAAAAGGAGAGTTAAATAGAATTTTTTTAAAAAATGTACTTGACAAATATGATAAATGAATTTGTGATCAAACATCATCAGAGTTTCCATTTCAATATTAAGCCTAATAGAGTAAGAAAAGAACTAGGATAACATTACTACCACGCAAAGGATAAGGGGAAAGCTACCTGCTTGATTGCTCCATTATTGTGGTCATAAAAATATTCACAGAAGAAGATATGCTGAAAAATGACAGGGGCATCCATGAAGGGAAGATCCTGCTTTCTTCGGACCTCACACTTCCCTTCTATGGCAATGAGAGGCACTGTGACCATCTGTTCACTGTAATAAACCTGCACATTCAGTAAGTGAATTGTCACAACTTACAACAGATCTATAATAGGTAACACAGAATAATTTCCATAACAGAATCATGAGAAGATAGGCACTTCCACTATTGGTAAAATATTAACTCCTAACCATGGGTCATACATACACACTTGCATGTCCATGTAGCATACTGGAGAGCATATGCTTCACATACAAGGCTTAAGCGCAACTCATTTCCCAATGTAAAGATAGACTACTGATGTTGATTTAAAAAAAAAAAAAACTACCTCTTGTATATCCGAACGGTACGCTTTCTCTGCTGAAATGTCCTCTGGTCTGAAAAACCTCCTAACTTTAACTTTCATTGATTCAGGGTCAGCTTGCTTCCGAGCTTTCACTCCTTCAATCTCCAGCAAATGACAAACAACATAAGCTTTCAAACCCACATTCCTCCCACCCTTGAAATTTTCACTGTCCTTCCCATCTTCTCCAAAATGATGAGGATCTAAGTATACAAAGTCATGAATGCAGTACTCAGTTCCATTGTGTGAAAAGCCAGTCAAGGAAGAATTCATCTTGAAGACTTCCTTCTCCTTCTCAGATTGCTTTATTTTACAGGAGTGGCAAATCCCAGTACCAAGACCCATACAATCAATTTGAAGACGAAAGAAACCACCTTTGTCCGGGCAATACACACTTTTACAGAAGTATTCCATGGGCAATCCTTTGCTTTTTCTGTTTTCTGCTTTTGCCCTGTCAGCCTTATCATTAGCGGCATTAGACTTGCGATGCTGAAAACCCCAAGGCATCAACCGGGGTTCAACAACCACTGTTTGCCCAATATCACCCAGTTCAAATTCCAAGCAATCATTTGTCATAAATACCTCTCTCTCATTAGCAGTGTTTCCAAGAACAGTTTGAAATCCTCTCATCATCAATCTTCCATGAACCACTTTTCTCCCGTCCGAGTCTTCAAACATGTACTCGACAAAATAGATAGGAGGATATTCCTCTGAGTCATCTGTTTCCAAAAGGACAGAACCACCAACAGAAACCACACTTCCACGAACTATTGCTTGTTTATAGAGAGCTTCAACCCCATGCATTCTGCCAACTGCCTCCCCATCCCATTTAATTTCCTCACTACAACAGGACAGCTTTCCTTGTTTTGATCCTGAATAAGGCTTCACAGTTTGCTCAATAACCAATCCCTTTTCTTCTTCAACCTCTTCAAAATCCTCTTCTCCTTCTTCTTCTTGTTCCTCCTCAATTTCATCTTCCTTCACTGCACATGCATCTCCCTCCTTCGAGTCTTCTGGTGAGTAATTCGAGTAAAACTCTCCCCATATTCTATTGATCAGTCCTGTTGTTGTTGCCGGCATCGCCTTCCTTTTCGAGTCCACAGCTGACATGGCTGCTCTAGGATTCAAATTTGCTTCTTTCTTTAGCACCGCCTTTTTCTTCACTAACCACTTTGTATGATGTCTTTCCTCCATTTTATCGTGAAGACCAGTCACAAAAGCACACTTCCTAATAGCATCATCTGGAAACTCAGCAAACTGCTGCAGTATAATCTGTCCATGAACTACCACATACCTCTCTACTGCCACTGGATTGGAAGATATGTAAGCAGGGTGATTCTTGTCAAATTCAGATACTTTAGTAATGACATCTGAGAATGAAAGTCGTGATACTCGAATTTGCTCCTTTAACAATGTGATGATACTGATTGCAAGCTTCGCTGTTTTCAAAACTGGTTCATACCATGGAATATACTGCTTTGATGGCTTTCCAAGCCTATACCTGTAAAACTCAAAGAAGACCATATAAGCTTCCATCATTATTTTATCCCTTCCGATAGATATTAAATCAGCCAGAAACTGTAACTGAGCAGGTTAAGAAGACACTGTGAATCTTGTTAAGATAGTTTAATGTACAGTTTATTTTATTTGTTTATTATTTTTTAAAATTGTAAGCAACAAATTCATATTAAGGGTAGTGCCGATTAGGCACCATCCTTGTACAAGATAACTAGATAAACATCGTTATCCTCATTTCCTTAAGCTTTTGGTATAATTGGTGATCTAACATGGTATCAAATCTTTGGGTCAAAGAGGTCCTCATTTCAAGTTTGGTTATTGTATTTGCTCCACTATTATTATCATATGCCATTGTGCATCCTGTTCTGTGTCTGCTTGTGCACCTCTTGAGTTCAATATGTGATTACAATCAATGACTAAGCATGTTAGAGCACACCTATTATGCCAGAAAATTTAATTGTTAAGAAATGGGCTATCTACCACTCTCCTCGCATGCAAGGGCATCTCACATGTGAAGAGACAAATAGCCTAAACTGAACAGGATGCACCAACAGTGGAGCAAACACAGATTACAAAGATGAACTCATGATCTCCTGGAACCAAAGCTTGATACTATGTTAAATTGTCGTGCAGATCAACTCATCTAAAGCTTAAGAAAAGACCCTGGCAATGTATATGAAGCTAAACAAATACAAAATAACCACTTGCCGCATGATGATTAAGTTACCATTTAAATATAAACATAAAAAATAAGCCTCATTCTCTTCAAATTTAACTGTGAAGGGAAGAATTCAAGGACATGTAAAACTAAATAAGCCACAAATGATAAAAATTTTAGAACATAATCACTATGAAAGTGGATGAAAAGGAAAAAACTAAATTATCAGATTTTTAATACTGTGAAACTTGTAGTATGAGAATAGAATCTATTACCAGGCCATATCTGTCCGAATTGAAATAAAGACCATCGATGATCCAAATTCAATCATCCATTCCTTTATTGCACTTAAATATATAGGAATTCCATCCACATCATGTGATCCAACAGAACTGGAAGTTTTATGAGACTCCCCATCAAGACAAAACCCACTTCCATCGTCAGTTGTCATACTCCCTGAACCATAAATAGTGGCATCAATATCAGCACAAGGTTTCATTGGGAGAAGCTCCAAAGAGATCAGCCGAGAGTCTGAATTGTAGAGTGCCCAATTATGCAGCATGCTTCGAGGAAGCTCATTTGGATCATTTGCATCATCATAATCATCAAAGATAAGGTACTCATCAGTTTCTTGAAGAGAATTCTTGTAATATGCAGGAAGTGGATAGTCATTTGCAATCTCATCTTCATTGATCTTGATGTAATAGTTGTTTGGGGAAGTAACCATACGCTGCCTTTTCTTCTGTCTCACTTGTCCCCAGTTTTCCTTTTCCTGCAACAACCGGGCACATTTCATATCTTCATCTTCTTCGTCTGCATAACTCGATGAACGTGACTGGTTTATATTATCTCCCTCTCTAATTTTCAGATTTGTATCTAGCACCCTATCAGATGGAATCACCTCACCAGCCACACAACCCATATTTTTCTTGCTTTCATCCCTAAGAGCAGCAAGAACAGGCAACTCACTGAATATTTGTTCATTTTTCTTAGATGTCTCCTCCAAGCCAATTAGTTGGTTAAAAATAAACTCCCCTTGTGAAACAATGAAGTCTCTAACAGACATCCCACGAGGAAAACTTTTTCTTCCACTCATTGAACGGACAACCTTAGCAAGTAACTCCTCAAGACTCTGATTAGGATCACCTCCACAAGATCTTGATAGCTTCTGGTAAATTTCAATGCATGCATGTGCCTTTTCATAGAAAAGACAGTACATATTTTTGTAGCTGTTGGTAGGCTTAACACAATCATAGTCTGCAATTTCAGTAGAGACCCATATGACTGGTGAGCCATCTTCATACCCAGATATCGCCCAGGTTTCTATACGCCCAAAACCCTCACATCTAACTCCTTTTGCCTTATCTTTTTCATGCGTTTCCTCCAAGGGTAAGATGAGACCAGTAATAAAAATGTCAGTCACTTCCAACATTTCTACCGGTTGTGGTATTCCATCTTCATCATGGAAGACAAAATCTGTCAGTCTTCTATTTGGCCGCTGAGCATCCTGGCTAGCTGTCAAGCATATTGCTTCCAATTCATCTTCCACTACATGATCCCTTTTTGTTTCTATTTTTGGTTTTTCAGTGACACGAACTGATTTATGCTTAAAATCTCTGCAGGCAGCAGCTCGCTTTGGCATTTTTCGAGAACCAGAAACATTTTCAGTGCTCTCAGACATTCGCTTTTTCTTTGGTTTTGCAGTCACTTTGATACTAGCATCAGAAACATTTGATTTGGATTTACCCTGTGTTCTCTTTTCCTTCATCCCTAACCAAAAAGGATAAGAGAAAAATGGCAGGTTAGAAAACAAGAAGACACATGCAATTTACATAGATAACAGAAGTTACAAGAGGCATGCAAATAATTAGAAGATAAAACCACAACTATGAAGATATATAAGTTTTAATACAAACCATACTAGACTGCATAGACATTCTCAAGAATTTGACCCTTTGAGACACACAAATGTTAGACAGAAGTGCAGACAGGCAACATTACAAGATACCAAGCAGCCACAAAAGGTACGTACATAAATCATGAAAATAATTGCAGACCACAAAAAATTAGAAAGAGAGATGGAAGAGAGACCGGGTAACCTTACTTGACACCCTCAAGATGACAGGCCAAAAGATTACAAAAACCTAAGATGCAATCTTTGAAGGTAAGCCTGCATAGGGCCATGGAATGCATTCAATCTTTTCCATGTCTAATTAATAATTACTTCGTGGGATAAGAATTATATTGTCATCTCCATAGTCAAATTCATAGCATGAAAAAGAAGCTAGTGAAGGATACATGAGGGGAAAAAATGAACAGAAGTTGGAAGAGATACAAAGAGTTATCATGAGAAAAATATGCAGATAGCAAAAGATGAAATCATAAATAAAAGAAAAGACTAAGCATCAAAAAAAGGCAAAACTATAAAGAACAAGATGGCATGTTCCATGGTACAAGTTCTGTTTAAAAAAACAATAAGGAGAGGAAATAAGCAAGAATGACAATAATATTGGGAGGGGAAGATAAAAAGTGAGCCAAAAGAAATGCAAGCACACATTGTATTCAATTTAAATTCACAAGGCAGGCCAAAAGAAATACAGATGTAGTTGTATCATCTTATATCTATGCATACAGATGACTGGAATCTACCACGCAATTTTAGCAAGCACAGGTTAAGATTTCTGACTAATCAAAGTTGCTTATAATTACTTCTATGACAAGTTTGGCAATCAAAGTGACTTTTATACATCACAACAAAAACCAAAAAAATAAGAGTTAAATATTAAATGAAACCAAGAACATGATTGCCAAACTTGTCATAGAAGTAAATATTGCGATACGGTTAAAGCAACAAAATTTGCAAAGACAGATTAAACAAAAGCGGAACACAAAACAAGAAGATAGAAAATGAAATCCACCTAATGAAAAAAGAATGCTAGCACATCAATAAGGAGTAAAAAAATGCCCACTCCTTGTGCTAAATGTGTAGTGAAAGCCAAAAAATGCATGTTGAACACTTGAAAGTTTAGTCCTACAGGATGGATAGTTAAACTATACAGAGATCGTAAAAAGAGGCTATCCCAAATCATCAAATAAAATTACTTTTTAAAATTAAAAAATCTATTATTTGTGATTTCCCAAAATCTATCAAGCACAGACCTCACCAGAGGTCACATACCAATGTTTGACATGTGTTGGACACAAACATGCACCGAAATACACGCTGGAGGGAGTCAAAAACACTGTAACACACTGGAGACAAACCAAGGACAAGTTAGGACAGGCTGCGAACATACTGGGTCCCGATTTATTTTTAGTTTTTTTTATAGAAATAGCATAACCCAAATATAGGTTATTGTTGATTAGACCTATACAAATAAACTACTTCTCATGTTAAATGCCTAACCACAAAAGAATAACCTCTAAAGCTAGACCCTAACTCTGGAGCTAGACCCTAAGGAGTCGAGGCTCCAAAGGTTACCACTAGGTGGTTGCTACACAACAAGATAAGTCACAAACTCACACACAAGTGAGGATTCAAACCCACCCGCTTGACACTGGGTACGATTTGCCCATGTCTAGAAGGCTCATCCTACGAACCATATATGATATCGGCCGAGTGGCTGACCACGAGAGAGCGAAACCTGGGACCTCAACAATGTTAAATAACAAAATTAAAGAAATATATATATATATATATATATATAGAGAGAGAGAGAGAGAGAGGATTTTTCTTTAACAATGTTAATTTTGTCATTTAACATTGTTGAGGTCCCAGGTTTCACTCTCTCGGGGCCAGCCACCCAGGCGATAGCATATATAGTTGGTAAGACAAACCTTCTATGGAATAATTTGATCTTTCAACCTTCTAACGAATAATCAGCCATCTTTTGAATACATGCACCTCTGCATACATATATGTGTTTCTTTGGTGTGATATGATCTTTCAAGCATTCTTTAAACTGATAATTTGTGCCCCTCTATCTATCTATCAATTCATCCATGTTTTATCTATGAAAAACTTCTTTCTCTGATCATCATCAAACAAGAAAAGTTCATTTGAAAAACATAGTAGACATAGATCATTTTTTTCATTTCAATTAAATCAACACACTAGTTCCTCATATGTCTAAAAACAAAGAAGCGGTCAATACAAATACCATCTCCTTACCAAGATTCTCTCAATCAATCGATCCACTCTGTTCAGACATTCTCTTTCTCTCAAATCGATTCAATGTGTCAAGTCACACACATTTTCTCTCTCTAAGACAGAATCAATCTATATGTGCGTTGTTAGATATATACAATCAATCAGCAAAAGCCCTAAACAACAACAACAACAACAACAAAAACAAAGAAGAAATCTTACCTGGATTCACTTGGTCTTCCAAACCCACGCCATTATTCACCGCGCTTTGATTCTCCACCATCAAACTCGAGGAACCCATCAAGAATTTGCAAAATTCTCAAACACCCACAAACAATCGCAACACTTTTCAGAACCCTAGATAGATACAAAGGAAAAGTGTTTCTGAAAACCAGCAGCTGCGCTAAAAGGGAAATAAATAGGGGAAATTTGGCAGGAGGGTTTTGTTTCAAATGTACAAGTGGCGGGAAACCACTTTTGGAGGCAAAACTCAAAAAAATTAAAAACCCTAATTATGTGTATATATAGGGATATATATGTATATACATCTGGTTTTAGATTTTTGGTTGGGGAGGGAATTACAAAACATAGAAATTTGGGGGTAACCAATTGTTTGTCAGTGAAATTTTATTTTTTTTTTTAATTAATTACAAAAGTACGGAATCAGGTAAATTACGTTTTGTATTTTTTATATTTGACCATTTCTTCGGTTTTATTTTTAAGATTTGTTTGTTCTCTCTGTTTTTAAATTTTTTTAGTTTATTTTTAAAATTAATTTCTATTATAAATTAAATAAAAATAATATATTGACAGTCATATGATATAAAAATATTTCATTTTATATAACTTACATATCTTATATGAACTTAAATTCTAATATAATATATTTTTTATATTATGTAACAGTTATTATTATATTTTATGTTTAGTTTTGAACCTAAGTTAATTTTTAGAATAAATTAAGAAAAAATTAAAACATAAAAAGTTAAAATAAAAAATTTAGAAATCAAGATGAGAGAACAGCCAAATATAAGGATAATGTTAGGATATTTAAAAGGGTTGTTTGGGATAAACTAAATAAGTGTACTTTTTGACTTTTTATGAAAGGGTTGAGTTTAAAGTGATGTGGTGGAGAGGTGGTGTGACTTAAATAGGATAGTGACTTTTTGACTTTTTTAAATTATGCCAAACCAAGCTTAAATTTTTTACTCAATAAATAATTAAATATCTTATATAAATATAAGATCCATAATTTTGTGAAATCTATATTCAGATAAAATATTTAATTATTTATTTAATAAAAAATTTAAGCCTATAATATTTTTCCAAACATAAAAAAGTCAAAGTGCATTTACCCATAAAAATAAGGTCTAAAATGTCGCTATCTTTTCTTTCTCTCAATTTTTTTTTTTCTTTTCTTTTCATTCTCACCATGTCGTCCACTTCCCAATGCTGACCACCACGCCTCTACCCCAAAAATGCTTTACACCCCACCGCTGGCGTCGACTCTCAGTGAGTGAGTGGAGGCTCGTGATTGGACGAAAAAAAAAATTTTTTTTTCTTTTTGGTTGTTAGTCAGTGGGCGCGTTATTTCACTGGGATGCGACCCTCGCCGGAAATATTTAGCAGGTTTTCTCTGCCCTTCATGGTTATCTTATTGTAAAATTACAATAATTTATAATTTAAATATATTTTTTTATTAAAATATTTTTAAACAAAAAAATATTTAAAATTATAATAAAATACGTAATAATTATAACAAAAAATACAATTATAAAATAAAAAATTAAGATTTATTAGTAATCCGTTTGCGAGAATGGTGGACTGAATAGGGGCCAATATCATTTGGCCATTAGAAATTGATCGCTCATGTCATCGATCATGAACATTCTTTTGACAATTGTATATTTAAAATTATAAATTACAATATTAATCGTTTTGAAATTAAATAAAAAATTATCACAAACAAATTATTATGTATACACAAAAATTTATACGGTATCACTATTTAAATCATTATAATAAGTTTTGGCTGGGGATCCACCATTTAGACTAGAGGGTCCAGTCTAGTTCATTTGATTTAATTTTTTGTCGCTTTTCGATAATCTGAACCGTTCACATTTTAAAATTTATTGAGTACATGATTCCTGTGAAAAATCAAGTCAATCAGATAACGAATACTATGTATTCAGATTATTTTTTTATGAACAGTTAATTTTCTAGCCGTCAATTTTTTAAAACAAAAGTTATCCGAATACATAATATTCGTTATCCGATCGACGTAATTTTTTACAAGAATAATATACTCAATAAATTTTGAAATGTGAACGATTCCGATTATCGAAAATAAGCCTAAACATAGGCTTAATGGGCCAAACTAGATTAATTATTTCAAATCTTGACTGGAGACGATCCAAACCCTAAGTTTTTTATTTCGACGATGTCATGGTTGAGAAAAGTATCAATTCATACTCGGGGTGTAATCACCTTTTGTACATATTCTATTGGGGTGGGTTTGTTTTAGAAGATTAGGTCATAGGATTAGAATATTAGTCTTATCGGACTAATAATTTATTATTTAATTTAATTTTTTTGCTCTAAATTAATAGTTCCTTCGAATTATTAGTCCCTCGTATGAGGGATAATTGTATCCTGGGGGGGAGGCGGGATTATTTTCATGGGATTGGTGTCTCATGGGATTAATGCGTGAAATGTCCATGTTATTACATAGTAAACAATTAGAAAATGATAAAATAGTCTTTTAAATATTTATAAATTATTTTTTTAGTGTTGTTAAGTTACTATTATATATTAAATAAAAATTTTAAATTATAAATTTAATTTAATTAAAAATAATAAATTAAAATTTATGGCCTTATAAATTAAATTTTTTTAGTGTTGTTAAATTATAAATTATAAATTATAGATTACAAATTTAAAATTATATATTAAATATAAATTATAAATTACAAGAGTAAAATAGTCTTTTGAACATTTATCCTTATCCACTTCGTCTAATCAACTATTGGATTCACTAAAAATAGTTCAATCCAGACATCTACTCCCATGACTAAACAAACATAGGATACAAATCCAATCTAACCAAATAGTCCGGGGACAATATATCCTGTGACTAACAGTTCGATGGATTACAATCCCTTCTTATTCAGTCTGTCCAAACAAATACACCCTTGGAATACATTGGATTTCTTTAAGCCCAATTTGTTTTCCACACTAGCAATTCCCTTCGAACGGTTAGTGATGAATAGTGAGCCTAGTTCATATTTGTGTTGGTTTTGAAACTTCAGATTTGTAGTTTCCTTTGGCTTAGAATAGGTGTTGGTGAGAGAATTAATAGTCTGAGTTGGGAGATGGTATTAAAAAATAGTTTGTTCAGTTTAAGGTGTTACCGTTCGTCCGAAGAGGCGTCTGGTTAGACATCTGATCGGTCAACTAGCAGGACAATCGGGCAAGTGCAATTTTTTTTTTTTTTTTTTTTTTTACATGTTAGGTATTTTTTTTAACATTAATGTTAGGAAAATCAAAAACCTCATTTTTTAGAAAATTGAAATCAAACACAGTGATTTTTTTTTTTTTTGAAAACACGGGAGAATATTGTTTGAGTTTGTAGGGATGATAATTTGAATCATCCATTTTATAAGATTTTTTTGTGTATATAATAATAATAATAATAATTCGATAATCGTAATTTATTTAATTTATCTTGTTAGTTACCAAGACAATGGATGGTCTATTTTTAAAAATACAATTATAATGCGATAAATTTGACATATTACGATTATTTGATCGATCTAATTTTGTCTTTTAAAAAAAAAATGGTGAGTGTGTTTCTAAAAATTAATCATCTCTTGTTTTGTTAACAAATATAATAAATTAAATATCTTACTATTGTTGAGTTAATCTAATTCTGGATCACATATTCAAAAGATCCTATGAACTAAACAATTTGAATTAATCAAAATAGAATTTATCGTAAACTCCACGAATTCGAACAACACCGTTCAAGGAATCTATTCGCATTGGTTAACATATAACAGTATATTCAGTGTAAGGTCATTCAAAATGAAAAGTGCATAAGATGGGTAAAAGTGAACTAAGGTCTCGTTTGGGAATATGTAATTTTTTGATTTTTTGGTTAAAATATGAGATAAAAAAAATTAGTATGTTTGGGAAGACTTTTTGGTTTTTTATGAAAACATGTGCAAAAAGTAGAGAGAAAATGGAATCTTTGACTTTTTTGTATAAGTTGTTGGCTTTTTGATTTTTTTAGTAACTTTTTGACTTTTAGACTAAAACAGTCATTTGCCAAACCAGGCCTAAATATGCGAGGCAAAGGCCTACTGTTAGTTCAAATGCACTGCAAACTTTTTTATTTTTTATTTTCGAGGAGGCAAAAGGGACCCAGAGAGATCGGGCCAACAACTTTTATTTTCACACACCACATTATCTCAATTTATATATTTAATTTTTAAAATTTTGATTTGAAAGTTGATTTCTAACAGTTTGTTTAGAAAGTGAGTTAGTTTTTTGGCTATTTTAACATAGAGTTAAAAAGCCTGATTTAGAAATGATTTTTTAGTTCGTTTGACTTTTTATAAGAAAAAGAATGTAATGGATTGGATGCGATATTTTGTCTTATTAAATTAAAAAACTTATTTTATTTTTTTTGTGACAATTTTAACTAAAAAAACCCAAACCCTCACTTTCCAAATAAGCTCTAAACAACATCATTTTGTTCGGAAATCAATTTCCAAACCAAATAGTTTTGTTCAAAAGTTAATTTACAAACCATATAATTTTATTTGGAAGTTCATTTTTAAATCAAAATAATGGGTACACTGAGAGGACATGATATGTGAAAATAGAAATTCTCATAGGCTAGTCACAAACAAACTTCGGTGTATTTTACCACTCTCAATGTTGCCTTTTCTTCCTGCATGTGTAAGTATGGTGCTCAACAAGCATCCATTGTTTCATCATTTGACAAGTTTAGATTGTTTTGAAAAGTATGTTAAAAAGTTAATTTTTTAAATTTTTTTATAAAAATATGTAAAAAAATAAAAATGTGATATGACTTAAAAAAAGGTTAAAAGTTTTAAAAAAAATACCCCTTTAAACCTATTTGTCAAAAAGGCCTTTGTGTCTTTCTGCCCAAGCTTTACCACTCCCACAATTGTCTTTTGCCCAACAAGCATCTATGTTACTAGATTGCTTCATTGAAAATGTTTAAGACCCTTAAAAAATAAGGGGAATTATATATAAGTTTAAAAAAAAAATTATAAATAAATGAGGATATAAGTATATTTGTAGTGGGCAAATGAAAGGCTGTGAGGGTGACGTCTTCCATGTGTTGGTAATTTTTTTATCCATATCTCACATACATGTAATTTTTCCTAAAAAGTATCCACAATGATATGACAAGATATGTGTCAATTTTTAATTTATTACACACATAATGATGGTGGACCCAACTCCCATGCTAAATCATTATGAGTGAATTTATGAATATAAATATATAGATCTCTAACGTTACTCCTTGCTTAATCATTTGAATGATAATTTTATGTAATTTTTAGTGTTTGGATCACTAAAATAAAGTGAAAATTGAATGATAATTTTTATCAGAATTTATTCGCACTTGATTGACTTTTTTTTTTGGATAGAGCATTTGATTGACTCAAAAATAATAAAAAAATATAAAACAAATTACACTAGTAGCCCTTATATTTTGATTAATTTGTTATTTTGATACTTATAATTTAAATCAACTCAATTTTGATCCTAAATAATTTTGTCTCAATTTGGTTTTAATCCATGTGTCATACTTTTATAGACAAAATTATAAACTTCTTCAACAACGCTCCATTTGTTTAGAGCAAAAAATATTTTTAAATGGAAAGCATTTTCTATGCCACTTTTTTTCAAAAAATATTTCCTAAAAAAAATAATTTCCTATGTTAAGTGGTGATGGTGGTGAAATGAAAATGGAGGTGGTGACATGGAAGTGAAACAGAGGCAACAGTGATAAAAACAGTGATAATGCTATGGTGGAAATGAGAATAGCAGTTGCAATACAGTGACATTAGTAAAATTTTAGTCCAAAAAATATTTTCCGCCTTTTCAAAGTGAAAAACATTTTGTCTACATAAATTTGTTTTTTGTTGACCATGAAAAATATTTCTGTTGATTTTCCTTTTCCATTCAAAATATATTTTCCATCCAAACAAACGTAACGTTAGTGAGTTAACGTTAACCAACTCAATGACCATTCTACTTCAAAATCTTAACTAACATTATTAATTAGGCCAAATTGACACAATCTAAAATCAATGGTCCAAATTGTACTAATTAAAATGACACGAAGAAATATGAATGTAAATTGTTAAAAAATATATTACAAATACATTATTCCAAATAAATCGTCATTCCGTAGAAAAACTAATGAATGATCATTCCATCTTATTCAAATGAATCAAATAGAGGATTAAGGTTTAGTCATTCTTTGTAAATTATCAAACCCATAGCCATGCACATAACAAACAAATATGAAAGAAGGGATTTTTTTTTTTCCCCAATGAAGTTTGATAGAATTACATATGTAGCACCCACCATAGATAGGAAAACAGATGGCAACCCCTCAAAAGAGAAAAAAGGAGAAATCTCAATGAATTTGGTACACCTCAAAATCCAGCAGCTGTGAGAACATTAGAAATTTAAAAAATAATAATAATAATAATAACTGCAATCTATCTACAGACACATTTCCAATTATACAAAAGCTACCATAACATAATTTGAGCTCAACAAGAGCTCAAATTTTGGGGTGAGCAAGAGCGCAAACACTCACCTGACAAGAATGCATGAATTTGATCTGTCCTGAAATTTGTCTAATACTTGTAAGAGCCGGGTGGTGCTGGAGGCAACCGGTTAGGGGTGGAGCGTCGGTTGCTTGACTTGGAGCCTGAGCTTAGATCGCCGTTTTGGGAGGGGTCGCTCTTACGACTGTGACCGTTGGACCCGTACCTAGATGAGTCACTGTATGAGTCAGTTGGACCATTGGCTGCAGCGTCAAATGCATTTCTCCAATCCTCACCGGGTCCACTTGTTCTTGGACTGCTTTCTGCAGAAATCAATATATATATATATATATATAACAATTGAAAGCACATCAGTGAAAGACAGGTTCTAATGAATGAACCAAAATCTAGCAATAGAAAAGCCTCAAAAAAATTCATGATCCAAACACCTCTACAAGTATGTAATCAGTCCAAAGTGGAGCATTGCATACCAAGGAAAATAAGTAATGAGATCTAAAAATTAAGATAAGCACGATGAAAGTAAAAATGCTATATCTAGTTTTTTGTCACCTGGGCCATTATCGGCATCCAACATGCCAGATGCTGCAGCTGCTCGATTGTCATGAATACTCAGTTGTCTAGTGAGCTTCGAAAGAAGAGAGGATTGTTTCTGATAACGTTCCCTCCTGCGCTTTACATTTTGGTCCTCCATGAGCAACTCCTCAGTCCTTGCTGTACTTTGAGAACTACGCAATAAATGTGCAAAAATGTGAAGGCATAAGGTTTCAAAGAAAGAGAGAAAAAATAGAACATGAAAAATTAAATCAAATTGTGAGGATCAGCAACAGGCACATCTCACTAGCGCATCTCCACATCCATACGCATGTTTCAGTTAGTAGTACATGTTCTACATTAAACATAAAAGAGGAGTTGGTGTTCATTTATGTAAGATGCAGTTTTTTCTTTGTATATTAACAACCTTCTCGCATTTAATCATAGAATATAAGAAATATCATCAAGAATTGCATTTCCCACATATTTTCCACCCAACATAAGAAAAGAAAAGGCCTAAAACAAAACAAGCAATTTATAAATTAATATCTTTCTTTTTTTTATTTTTACAACGAAATATGTATATAAATAGGTTCCAAGCCAGTAACCTAGCTTCTCATTAAATTTTCAAATACAACAAACATCAGGAAGGCAAAATCTTATAGAAAAAATAACATATATAATGGTCAAAGATGTACCATCCACTCCGGCAAAAATGTAAAAAAAAATAGCAAATAAATAAATGGAACTAACCTGACTGAACTGTACAACTTATTAAGCATGTCTTCCTTGGCTTTCTCCACTTGGCAAAGAACCACTGCCTGCACAACTAGAACAGGTAAGAAAAATATAATACAAAGCTTAAAAGATGTAGGGATAAAAGTGGCATTGAGAAAATAAAACTGACTTTCGGGACATTGGCCGCAAGGCTGTTCAGAACAGCTTCAACATATCCACGTACTTCTTGGGCCATCCACCTAAGTTCTTCCTCTGGATCAGCAGGTCGTCTTGCCATTGTATCCTAAATTGTGCAAGTAGGCTAACAGTTTAGTAAAGAAGTATTTAACAATACCAGAAAAGAGCCCCTACAACTGGAAAATGATCACAAACTATAGAATTTCGAGTTTTTGCACCAACTTAAGAACCCTAAACTCAGACCTCAAGATTTGAGAGGGATGTCTAGAAAGAAAACAAATAAATTTCATTTCTCACTAACTTAAAATTCGAAGTATTTATTAGAAATACACTAATCCATGGGGAAAACAACTCTGAAGGAACTTTTAGAGAACTGAAAACAATTACAGAGAGTAGTTGCGCTGAGAGTATGCACAAGTACAAAACAAGCATTGAATAATAACTCACAAGTGAACCATCAGAAAGACTCTGCCGCATTGAAACACCAGATTCACCCTTCAGTTGAACTCCTTTAGAAGCAGGGACCACATTTCCTAACTTATTTAACCACTCAACCTTATCCGCCGGACTCTCAGCCTTCAACACAACAGCGCTGTGAGCTGCAAGATCATAGAAATTTTAATGTGCATTGGCATGCATCTCAACAGGCAAAAGGAAATAAGGGATGATCCACGAATAAGACAGTTCTTCAACATAAAGATGAATATTCTACCTTTAAGAACAGTCTTATATGGAACCTTGCTTGTAATCTTGAATACAAGACTGGGTGTTGGTCCATTCGCCTTTTTGTCCTTGGAACTTTTTGAAGGGGCCTCTTCTTCATCAGACACTTCTTCAATATTACATTCCTGAATAATGCATCCAAGATCAACTAATGAATGCGGTCACTTTCAAACTATCTTATTACAACCATTAATTTCATATATCAAAGTAAAGTTGAATAACTCCATTGATAACAGGAGTACACGCATTGATAACTTTACTTGGGATTCATTATATCACTACTAGGGTATGTAGAGCCATTTTTGGTCTGATAACAGACTCGTCGAGAAACTTGTTTAACAGCTGACCCTTTAACAAACAAAATATATAGTGGAGACTGACAATTGTTCAAGAAACCAACTTGGTTCCATAGTGGATAATGAATAATTCTACTCAACCATTTTTAACAAAAAAGAATTGATTACACTGCTAACAAAATAATAATAATAAAAAAATACACAAAACCAAGATATATGTGGATATAAGTCGGTCAATTTATCATGTATGCCACAATCAAATCAATCAAATCAATTGGCTTAGAACTTGATGTCCCCAGTCACACAGTCTATTAACTTTGGACCACAAAAATAAAATTCTATCAGGAGTATGTAGGCCCTAGAAATGAAAAGCTATTCAACATTAGGTGGTAAAAATCATTGGAATGGAAGATGAACAAATGTTGAACAGGGATGGGAAATATGATGACAGTTCATTGGTGATAGTTTCCATGACAATGAAAGACTTGCTAACCGTGACATGTATTAACTGGTTACTGAAGAAATTATTCCTGAGGCTAGTTCTTTCTTTCTTTCTTTCTTTTTTATGGAAAGTAAATAATTCTATCAAGAGGCTTATTCATTTATTTTTTTTTAAAAAAGACCTGGACAAGAACAAGAAGCTCAATCCCCTCTGCGTAAGAGGGCACAAGGATCATTTATTTCAAGTCAGACATATTTTATCCTCTCACAAAAAAATAATACGATTATAATTGAAAGTTTTATATTCAGACCTTAGTTGCACAAAGCGGGAGTGTGGAATCGTAGACATTTCAAGAATCGTTGGTTGGGAGCATTTGTATATATTTTAAATAATATATAAAAATATATTGTAAGATTAAATTTTTTTCTCTAATGATAATGGAAATATATATGTTATAAATAAATAAATAAATAAAAAGTATAATAAATCATATGTCAAAATATTCTAATTATATACTTTTATTAGATTTTTTTTCATTTATTCTAAAATATTTTTATTACTTTTTTTATCTATTTATTCTAAAATATTTTTGTTAAAAATTATTTATTTTCTTAAAAAAATAAAATAAAAGAAGAGAGAGAGAGAGAGAGAGAGAGAGAGAAGACAGGAGAAGAGGAAAGAGAGAGATGACGAAGACAGAGAGAAGAGGAGGAGGAGGAGATCGATCTTGAGAGATGAGATCGAGAGAGCAGACAAGATCGATCGATCGAGAGAGATGACGAGATCGAGAGAACACAGACAGACGATTGATAGAGAGATTGAGGTCGAGAGTGAGGATAACAGATCAGATCAGTTCCTTCTCTTCTCAGATTCACGTTTCTCTTGCATCAGACTAGCAATTCTTCTCCGATTCTTCCTCAGAAGCGCAGAACTGCGCCTCTTCAGCTGATTCGTGATCAACTTCAACATTTCCTGCTACTATTCAGACATCCAACCCAACCAAAATGAACAATAAATCATCTAAATTTAAACCAAGAAAAATTAGTTCAAAATATAGTAAATGCCTCCAAACCTAGGATGAGTACATGACCTGGCCCCCAAGGGCGCATTGAGCCCATGGTGGCTTTTCTAATGAAGCTATCTATATCCATCATAAAAATAAAAACACATACCAAATGCTTCCACTTTTCAAACAGCAACATGTTTCTGACAAAACATAAATCAAAGAAACAAAAGCTGTCTAGTTCAACAAAATTTATTAACGGATGCCCAAAGCCTGATGCAAGCTTATAATTTCTTCAAAAAACTTCTTAAAAAGCTTGGCAAGAACTATGAAACTAAAAAGAGACAATGGAAACATCCTTGAATCTATTGTCTAGTAAGACAGTATGCAACTAAATTCTAGTCTGATCTGAGCGTACTAACAGTTAACTTAATACCTCCAAGGTGATAACGCCATGAAAATGTCTTTCTTCCTGCTTTTTGGTGTATCCAAGCTGAAAGATGAAGTGGATATCAGAAAACTAATGAGATGATAAACAACATATGTAGCCACCAAATTGATCAGTTGCTAACTGCTATCATGACAATACCGATAAATATAAAATAAACAAAATGTGTAGGCTTTTAGAATAAATATCAAGCATATTATAGAGAGTTTTCTACGTGGATATCAAGTGTGTCTCTGATCGTGTATATATAAAGCTAAGGAACTGCCAAGAGTATGAACTTTTAGTATTAAAAGATAAAAGAAAAAAGAAAAGAAAAGTAAAAATATGCAGACACCCAACCTGCCACTATCTCATATCCATACAAGTATGTTGAAGAGATTCAAATATCATTGATCTCACTATAAATTTATAAAATTCTTTATTACCAAGTACTAACCTTTCCAGTTTTCTCATTTAAAACAAACCATTTTCTACTCCACCCATTCTTTTTTGCACTTTTTTTCAATAAGAAACCTGCAATCACACAGCAAAACTACGTTATAAGTACAAATACAGATTGTAGGGATGTCAACAGCTCAGTTTCACATAGGAAAAGAAAAGATTCATGATCAGTTCTATTTTTAACATTTTTGTATGAGGGTTATTTTTGTAATTTTATATTATGTCAATTGAGAGGAAGCCGAGATGGGAGAAACATTGGAATTTGTTAGAGCCACAGCTCTAGCCTCCAGGTATCCTTCCCCTTTTCCCCCTTCTATATTCTTCTACTTGTGGATTATTCAAGCTCCCTAATGGACTCAAGGATTTCCCCCATTTCTTTCACCCCTCAATTATCCTTTCGGATTCAAGGCCACTAGTGAACTGTAGGGTTTCTCCCCTCTCGTCTCTTCTTTTGGATACAGTGCTTAGTACACATTGTCTCGCCTAAATTTTTCATGTTTAGTGTGGTGTTTGTGGGTGTAGAGGAACTATCAATCTTAAGGAGGCTACAAAAAAACATTCACACTTCAGATTTCTATTGGATCTTGTTGATGCATGATTTGATGTATGCGGGGGTATTACTTAAGTGTTACTTTCGCTTTTTATACAATGGATAGTGCCACCTCCACAACCTTTTTCCATAAAATTTACTTCTATTTATCAAGAATTGTTGAAGAAATTATTCTACAGTGTCAAAAAATTAAATCTAAAATCCCAAAATTACTTTATTGAGCAACTTCAAGTCATAGTCTAAATAGGCTATCTGTTGCATAAATGAGCAATGCTTCTATGCATGTGAAACAGAGAAACTGTGCCTGTCTAACTCTGTATGTCAATAGATAATCTAATGCACTAGAACTTAATTTGTTGCATATGCTTGATATCACATTTTAAAGATTCATATCACTCAAACAAAAAAGTAAAACTCCATCCAAATTATTTTTTTTTTCCTTCATGAAAAGTCTCATGCCACAATCATCCATCTGCAAAAATGCAAATTCAAAACCCATAGAGAAACTATGAATATTAAATACAATAGCTCAAAAGCTCTTAGTCATCCAATCACACAGAAAGTGAGCTCTTGGTTGCATGATTTAGAACATTCCAATGTTAATTCACGCAACATAACCAAACAGGAAAGAATAAACAGTAAACATTTCTATCCTGAAACTTATACAGTGATGAAGTAAATATCATATAAGCCATAAAAAAAGGGGGGCAAAAAGCAACATAAACTAGACCAACAAAAAATATGAGTAAAATGTTATAGTAGTAACCTGCTGTTATCTCCCCATCAGGCCCAGCAGTCTTCAAGCCTGATCCCTCTTGTGCATCCTTATCTTGCTGACTGGGTTTATCCTTCATTGATTTTAAGCTTCCCCCAGTTTGCTGGCCCCCAGTTTGAGGACTAGTGGCCTAAAATGGAAGACAATATAACTATAAAAACAAATACTATCCAAGGACATTAATCAAAAGGAAGAGGGGAGAAGGGGGATGGACCTAAATGCAGTAATTATGAACAATTCACATAAAATAAGATGAACTTAGCACCAAACTACTACAAAATCACAAAAGAGAACACCTACCCTATTTAACATGGATTGCTCCGCATCAGGTGCCTTTTTAGAAGATCGGTTTTTTAGCTCATCCTCTCGCCGCTGCCTATCCATCCTGGCAAGAATTAAACATCGATGGAGACATTCCAAGAAACCATATCAAGCATCTGTTCTTAAAGATATGCCAGACAAAATGACTATCAAACAAAAAAACCTTTCAAGAAAGATAACAATGTGTAACTACACCACAAAAAACATGGATAGAAGTGTTATGAATGGAGGGAATTGAGCATTCTACTTGCAACAAATTACCAGTTGTCCCAATGAGATTAAAGTGGCCCTTTAGGGAAAAGTAGGCTCAAAACCACAATTTCGTTGATTGTCTTGGTTTTTACCATTTTAAGGAGTGTGTTCAACAGAATAAATCTTCTAGCTATGAAGCACCTACACTTCAAAACAAATGTCGTATCTATGTTGGACACACGGACACTTGGGGGACACGCGGACACTTCGGGGATACACCACATGGCGTGTCCCCTTATTTAATTAATTTATTTTCTGAGGACTTGCGAGAGACACTCTGGGGACACACTAGTGACATGCCAAGTTGTCTTTTTTCCCATTTTATTTAGTGCTTTTGATGAATGTTAAATGTTTATTATTTTTTTCTTAAATTTAAATACTTAATACATTATCCATAAAATAAAAAATATATAAACTGTAAGTGTTAATTTAAAAGTGTTTTTTAAATTTATTTATTTATAGAATCAAAGTTAGTTTTTGTTAATATTGACTGTTTGTGGATGGAATATTAATCTAGATAGCAAATAAAAATATATGAAAACATATTTTATGGTCGTGTCCCCGCCGTGTCTGTGTCCACATTTTTTTGAAATTGTTGTGTCCCGTGTCCGTATTTGTGTCCGTATCCGTGTCCGAATCTATATCCGTGCCCGATTCTATATCCGTGCTTCTTAGACTTGAGTGGTAGCACCTGCAAATCAAGTCTTTTTCCCTACTATTATTTGTCGTGTCCAAAGAAGCATGGACACGAACACGGATACGGACACGAATGCGGACACGGGACACGGTGATTTAAAAAAAAAATGGAGACACGGACATGGCAGGAACACTGCAATAAAATATATTTTTATTTACTATCTAGATTAATATTACATCTACAAACAATCAATATCAACAAAAACTATCTTTAATTCTATTTTTTTTTAAAAACACTTTTAAATTAACACTTACAGTTTATATCTTTTTTTATGAATGATTTATTAAGTATTTCAATATGTGAAAAAAATATAAACATTCAACATTCATCAAAAGCATTAAATAAAATGGGGAAAAAGACAACTTGGCATGACCCTAGTGTGTCCTTGAAGTGTCCACTGAAAATAAATTAATTAAATAAAGGGACATGCCGTGTGGTGTGTCCCATACTTGTCTCCGAAGTGTCCGCATATCCCTAAAGTATCCATGTGTCCAACACAGATACAACACTTGTTTTGAAGTGTCGGTGCTTCGTAGTCATCTAGCTATCCAAGAGGATCACATTCTTTCCCCTCCGTGTAACCATTATACTGAACCAGCAACAACATTATAATAAACTACTGGTCAATACAATCTTGCACTATCAGGAAGTTCTTGAAAACTATTGCAAAGCCAACCATTTCATAATATCAACCCCAAATATTTATAATAAAAAAAATACAAATGATGTAGACATATCAGGACTAGTACACAAACCCAAAAAAAGAGTAGCATCCACAGCCCACTGTGGTACCAAAATGATTGTGAGGGATGGACAAGGGCTACGCACAACATATAGTGGACACTATAAATGACAAATATTCAAAAACACACGCACAAAATTCAACATAAGAATGGCATGAATAAGATAAAATGAGTGTATTTAATGATAAAGTAATAAAAGGATTACATTCATTCTATAAACAAATAAAGGTAATAGTAGTCTCTTTCAACAAAGGATTGATTGTTGGGGAACCTAAGTAGCCATGCAGTAATAGGAAATAAGAATTGGGCCCCTTCTACAAAAGCAACAATGTCATACAAGAAGGCCACAAACAAAACCTTAGCTTTTGAGAGATGTTGGAAAGAACCATTTGCAAGTGTGATAAACTCTTCACAGAGAAGAAGAAAGAAAAAAATTATAAGGTAGAAGTGTACCAAGATGCAAGCAATTTGTCCAGTGAATGTCTAGAATAAAAACACTGAAATATAAACTTGTGGCACAGCTAGGATATTTCTGGAAATATCTGACATCTGACTCTAACTCTCTGACATATGTCAGTCCCAAACAGTGCAATAGCTCTTTAAGACTAGTCTCGAGCCCCCATAGCAAATCATGGAAAATATGGGATTCAAGTGTCACATCCTTTGTAACAATACAAATAACTCATCTTCTCAGATGATATACTTGAAACATTCTCACAGCAATGAGACCTTTACATATTACAATGACAATCAATAAACACACAAATTGTCCGCCTATTCCTCAAAATATAAGTTTTTTGAAATTCTTCAAGGCTTTTATTACACAGCAACAAAACATAAATGTCACAAAGAACATAAAGTTAGTGCTACAAAGCCTCCATTAAAGTTATTTCATGAAATAATTAGGGCAAACCATCAAGTAATGACAAACTATTTGTTTAAAAGCATATTCTATAGAAGTAAATTGAACAAAGAAAACACAACTGCACTAAATCAAATATTATTGCCACAACAAAATATTTAAATATTTAACATTTAATAAGAGTACATTTCAAATCTCAAATATATTAACAAAAGCCTTGACAAGGTCATCGTCCAAGAATTGAGCATACCGCCTCTGTACCAAACGGATGAAGTGTTGTGGAGGAACAAATGCACGCTCCATATCAACAAGAGCGATCACCATATTCTTTGCTTCATTCTTAAAACCGTCCAATGCCGCACTTGCAATTGCCACAACCTACTTATATTACCAACTACGGATTATTACCAGAAGAAAGCATTAATACATCCAGCCACACAAACTACAAGAATCAACTGCAGCAAGGCATAATTACCTCTCTCTTAAAAGAAGGATATCTTCCAAGACCTGGTGTACCATTTGCAGCTGCCGTAACTATATCCACGAGTACGCGGTGCACCTAATTTTACAGTTACATATAAAATTGGCACACAAAATGACGTAAAGAAAACAGCAAAGAACAAACAGAATTCCATGTATATATGCAGTGAATATACATAAAAAATATGTGCCTTGAAATCTTAAGTAAGTCAGTGTCAATGTGGATTCAGTGTATTCTCTCCATCAGATAGCTTTGAATGTGTCGATTAAATATTTGAAAAATAAAATATTGAAAGGATGAAAATTTCATAAGTAGTAAAACGTTAATTAAAACAATTTGAAAAAAAAGAAGAAAAGATGCATTAATTATTTGAGAAATAAAATACCAATTAGAGCAATTTGGAAAAAGAAGGGGAAAAAAAAAAGCCAACTGGGAAGAAAACAGTAGTTATTCGTGGCCAGGATATTTTCAGATCTAAATGGAAAACGATTTTCTTAATAAGCAGATATTCTGCAGCCTATTAGAAATAAGGCCTGATTGGGTAAACTTCAAAACCACTTATGCTTTTTCTTTTGATTACACTTATGCACCTCTTTGATTTTTCTGAAACCCATTTGACTGAGGAACCGCCTCCCATATATCAATAAAGTGATAGGGGGTCCATACCAAAAACCCCTGCCATCAAAAGTGCCTTCTTGTGAAATGGTTAAAAGAGGAGGCAAAAGAAAAAACTAACGAGCCGTTTAATCAGATAGAATAATATTAGGTGGACTACAGATATTTTCAAAAAAGACATAAAAAAAGTAATGAACCAAGTGATATGCAGTATTCGGTTCATGATGCAACACACTTCTTAGTTTGTGAGAAGCCACAGAATCATATGGCTTTGGTTAATATGGAACCAAAAAGGAGCTGAGGGGAACACAGACTTCCAGGGAAGAAATAGATGTTAGCAGCCACAAATACAAAAAATTACATGCTGAAAGGGTTGAAAACCAACCCATGATTTAAAAGTGGAAAAAAATACAAGCATAAAACAGTCAACCCTTATGCACACATCTGGACTGTGATCATGGAGGCATAGAAAAACATAAAACATATTATGTTGTTTTACCTCATCAACACAAAGACGTGCAGGTTCTTTTGCCAGCTCTAAAACACCTTTTATTAAAGACCTCAATCCTTTCTCAGGGGAAATAAGATAGGGTTGATAACCATCTGCTTCAAGCACAATCTGGAACCAACTCAAAACGGTCATCATAGAATCAAATAGCAAGAAAGCTACATATTGTAACTGAAAATTCAAACAGACAAGAACAAATACCCTTTTGACATTGTTCAAGTCAAAATGTCTGTCTAAAGGCAGCTGTTTAATCCTGTTAGGGAAGTTGCCCTCAAAACTAGCAACAACTTTCCAACCACTACCCTGCAATAAGTATTTAAAGTTTATAACAGCAGTTAAAAAAGGGGACAGAAAATTTTCATTTTGTCTCTGACAGAAAAGAATATAGATGACAGTGTATGGTTGAATCTTTCTTGAATAAATTTCAGAACCAGAAAAGAAGTTATGCAAATCTCGGACATGTATCATGCCTTGGTCACAATGTTATTCAGGCCCTAAAAACAGTGCTGCTTCACTAGCTAAAATAGGAGCCCTATACTTTCTTCAACTATGAGGACTCCTCCAAATTATTTTTACAACTCTCTTTAATTCTAATAAAGAAAAAGAAAAGAAAAGGGACTCTGACCATGAATTTGCCCAAAATATTCCTCATGTAAGCAAGTTATAAAATGACTTACAAGCATAAATGCATAATCCATGTAAGAGGAATAAACTAAACAATTCTCAATCTTATAAGATTATCAAGCACATTCATTCATTTAACATGTTTTTTTTAAAATCTTCTTCTCTCTCCAAGGTATCATGGAAATATACGCCACACCAAAGGCACTTGCAACATAACCCTAACATTCACAACATTATTTAATTCTCCAAACTCTTAAAACATTTTGCTAGTGCTAAAAATTCATTGGTGTTTAACTCTGATATATATTTATAAAAGAAAATTAGTTACAATACCCGGTATTAATCATATAGTAAATAAAATGGAACACTAAACCAAAGTCCTATCAAACGTCAGCTGTCGTACAGTCCTTTTCTGTCAAAATGAACCACATTGATTAAGTACATATATGCACGAATGAGGGTTTTTCCACAATATTTTCTCACCTCACCAGTTGTAATGTGTAGGAGAAATTTATCCTCAAATTCACGGCAAAGCTCCAATGCCAAAGCTTTTGTACCTTCAGAACTATTAACCATTTGTTCACCAAGCCTTACTAACTCATCTTGCACTACTTGAGACTTTCCCTGAAGCCTGCAATTGTAAAACAATTTAAGAAATAAGAGCTCAATAAAGGTACTTAAAACTCAAGTATACAAAAAAAAAGCTTGATAAGATTCTCAGCCATGTACGGCCACTCAAGAGCACATATACAAACTCCATCCACAACATGAAATAGAAAACCAGGACATGATATTCTTCAAATACACTAAAGAGAACAAAAGCAGGCCATGAAGGCACAAGAACAAATCAGCTCTTTATGAGCATGTTTCCGGCAAGCTAACTCAATATCATAAGAAGTTTTGCAGCATGAAAGGCCTCTCCACTGCTACCACTGATCGTTGACACAAATAATAAGACCCTCGGTCAACAAGAACCTACAAGGAGGAACAATGGTTTTGGTTGAAATCATAAATAGCTAATTGCTTTTACTTAGGCCTGGAACTGGACGTCAATAATGGAACAGCCCTTTCATGGACGCCATTAACAGACACCGAGCCCTTTTTTCAGGGTGATGCCCCAGTTGTGGTCCATCAATTCATGCATGAAAAAAAATGTACTCTAGAGATTTTGGAACTCATTTCAGTAAGGAGTGAGAGAATCAATTTTCTTTCAAGATCCAGCAGTTCAAGGGTAACTTTCTGTAAAAAGGGAAACATCTACCAGTAATAAACATAGAGGCAATAGACCAGTTTAGTCTAGAGTTACTTCAGATATACTTCTTTAGTTTTTGTTTTTTTTTTAAGTATATCCACTTCCCCTCTTGTTTTTTTTCCCTGATAAGTTGAAGATTTTTTTCTTATTAGAGAGAAAAGAAAAGAAATAAAAAGGAGCAGCAATAGATCCGGAAGTGTAAAATTCTTGACCTGTTCAGTAATCAGTACTTTTCAGAACAAACTACTTTGCCTCGGGGAAAATAACTAATTAGCAAATAATATTTTAGTATTTCACAACTGCATTCTTAATCATGAACCTATATAGCTGCTATGTAAGATGAGCATATATGCAGTAATGCACTACAGTTCTGATTGCGCCACTAGATTCTGAAAGGCCTCTGAATAAGGATTTTTCGTGCTAACAGTTAAATGAAAAGCAAATAGGGAGGAAAAAAAGAAAGAGCACACAAATGCAGGATTGCTGTTAACATCCCTATTGGCACGGCTTCCAGTCATGCAAAAAACCTCTCCAGAAATGGGGTTAAGGTTAGCAAGAGCCTCCTGCACTGAGTTGCTCTTTATTTTCTTTCTCTTTTTCTTTTTTATTTCCCTTCATCTTTTCACTCCTAATTTTGCATCTATGGAAAGCAAATTACTTTTACTTATCATAGAATAATGTCCTAACCACCCAAACACATATTCAATAGATAGATGGCAGCACCAAAAGAGGGCAATCATCAGAAACATAAATACACAAAACCATTTTAGAAGCCAGGAAAACCACACAAGAAAAACGAACACAATGACCATCACTGAAATTAATGGCCATAATAGGAAACCAAAGGTCAATCAGTATCTGGAAGAAGTACCCTGAGAGAAGATTAGGAAGCCTGACTTTCATACGGTTACGAATTTGGTGAGCAAGGGTCTCCACCAAAGCTAATCTGCCAAGCTTGCTTTGAGGGGCTCCTGTTAGTATAGATTTTAGACTTTCACTCTCAGCACGCCAAGCTGTTTCTAACGAGCTTTCAGACCCAACATTGCCTGATTGTGTTGAAGCAATTGCAACTGTTTGACCAATCAAACCAACCCAGGGAATGTCAGAGGTACTGCGTGGTCCCTGACCCAGTAGAAGAGCCTGAACGGCTGCAAGGGTTTTTGGCTCTGTAGCCGCTTGATCTATTTTACTAATAACACCAATAGTTCTGGTACCTACAATGAACAGACAACTGTTGATTTAATTCTTCTACTTAAGGAAAAGGGTGTTAAGGGATAAGACATAATAACAGAAAGTCCAAAGAAAGTAAAAAAAACAAAACAAAATAAACCAAAAACAAGATGCAAGGTCAACAGCAAACCCACTTTCTCCATCATATTCCTTCGCAAGTCTGAGGCCTTTATATGAGGAAACTTCTGGTGCCAGGGCAGCAGGTATTACAACTAGCAATATCGCATCGTTGTGTTCTACATACTCACTCTGTATGAAATATAGGAAATTAGATCTCCCTTCCAAGAAGAGGATTTCAGAAACTCAATTGGAAGAAATATCTTCCAATAAAATACAGAGCATCCTTTTTATCAAAGAATCATTTGCAACTCAAGAATCTAATGAGCAGCCACTCACCAATGAGTCATCAAAACTTCCTTTATCGACTCCCGGTAAATCAATTAATTTCAATGGTGGAGCTGCAAAAAAAAAAAAAAAAAAAAAAAAAAAAAAAAAGAAGAAGAAGAAGAAGAAGAAGAAGAAGAAAAAAGACACATAATAAATGAATAAATAAAGTTGGGTGTAATCCTGCTACACAAAACAGAAAATCCAATTCTTCAAACATGTTATCAGCAATTCTCATGCTTTCAGTCTGATGAGCAATATATGGTCCTTTTATAGCAAACTCTTCATCTTTAAATTATCTCACTTGCAATATTCTCTTTGGCAAACCAACAAGGGTTTCCAGCTTCTAATCATAGATTATTAACGCTACACAACTCCTGTTATAGACTTAAAACTTCACCAGAGGACACCACAAGATTCTAACCTGCCAGAAGAAACCTGAAGAACTTCTGTCATATTATAGTGGGTATTATTATTTCCCTATTTGTTTAAGTTTTTTCTTTTCTAGTGGAAAGCATAAATGCCGTATCAATTTTTAATTAATTTCAGATTAACTAGCAAGGGCAGATAGCGAAGGATGAATGCAGAAGCATGCATGTGTCTAACACAACTTTTATCTTGCAAAAGAAATCAAACACTTGGATCATGACTGACCTGTACTAGTGCGGAGTTTCAAAAATATTTCATCGCGACTCTTCCCTGAACTTTTGCTTAGCCTATCCTGTAAAGAATGCCGAAGAGCACCTGTTTTGAGCCAAAAATAGTAGAAAAATGACAATCAGAGTCATCAAAAGACCACTTCACAGAGTTTATTGTTAGAACCTAATCTCTATAGATGTACGGACACACGCATATATAAATAAATGAATAAAAAACTGCATCGTTGACTGAAATCAAATGGATTACAGTTTGGCAAGAGGCCTCACTTGCAGAAACCTGTTGGTTTTTGCTGTCAATCTGCAAAATAATTGATTTGCTGCTTAAGGAACTATCCCTTGCTAAATCGATGCATATAGGAGCACGAGTAGCACCACCTTCACCAGTTGGCTGTCACAAAAAGGTGTGGCAAAAGAACACAAAAATAAAATATTTATACAAAAATTATTTACCAACTTAAAGATACATGAAAACTTCAAAGAAAAAATGCTTAGCCTTACATTAGGGGGAAAAAAATGCCACAAAGAAAAAGAACTTACAAGAGCAGGATGTCCAATTAGACTGTTCAAAACAGCTGATTTACCCGCACCCTGACCAATTTGTCCAGTTAGTAAATACTTGCCACAAAGAGTACAATAACCGTAACAAACATGTTAAAAATAAAAATAAAAATAAAAAGGGACGCATATGTTACAAACTTGCAATGCCATTATTCGAGCTCCCCTCTAGTATAAGTTAATGATCTACATAGACAAGGTACATCAATCTTTATGAAAATGAAACCAATTAACCTTTCTTCATATGGTTATAATCCAAACGAAATTTCATATTTTCTATTGCGAGACTGGAACATGATTCATGAAGTTTTCATCCAACAACTAGAAGTGTAAAAATTTTGGATTAACCATACAAGTAAACAGTAAACCTCTCAGATCAGGCCGCTTGACAAAACAATCCATTAGTTTGTGCTAACAGTAACAGCAACAAATGTTGGGATAGCACTAGTGACTAGTTGTGGTGGCAGCAATACAGTGATGGTAGTATTAACGATGACAGTGCTAACGTTGATGGTGGTATTACCGAAGGTGCATCAGTAATAGAGGTGACAGTAGTGAAATGGAAATAAATGGTAATGCACCAGTAGCAATGTGATGTGGATGGCAGCAGTACCAGCGCTGGAAGTGGCAGTAAAATCACATAAACATTGTTAATAGCAAAAGATATTTTAAAATGTAAATAATAAAATATTAAAAAAGATTTTTTTCAGAGAAATGATGTTTTGGAAATCAAAAACCATTTGCTGTCACAAGAAATTCTCACTCCAAATTTTTCTACAATCAAATTAACAGAAAAATTGAAGCTATCATAAAGTAAATAAGAAATATTACTACCAAAAAAAAAAGTTCAAAGTTGTAACAAAAATATTAACAATATACTCCATTCATAACATTAGAAGTATTATTTCAGTAATTTTCCATGCATTAAGAACAAAATTTTGAAACAGTAAGGCATCAGTTCATGTGAAAAATTGAAAAAATATTGAAGAAGCAAAGGTAGGAGAAGAAGAAGGAACTTTCCCAAACTTTTTCTTCGCATGCAACTCCTCCAATGCTGAGCACACCAATACTCTACCCTAAAAATCCTTATTTGAAATACACCCTACCTCAATTGATGTCCTTTTAGATCAAAATATGATTCAAGAACATCAAGGCTAGTAATTTAAAAACAAAAGATGAAAGGTATTTCAGCAGCAGAGTTATATTCTCAATTCTGGATCAAAATAATTCAAACATCACAATCTACTAACTTTATTCATCTACAATGGTAGCGTAGACAGTAGACTGTCATTGGGTCTAACATGAGTAGTTTGATTGAGGTATTGCCAAGAGGAGTTGAGTAGAGTTGTGCATTGTATGAAACTTCGCATACCCTAAGCGTCTAAAATCTTATTAACAAATGCCCCTACACTCCTAAACAAAATCCCACGAATGCACAACTTCCTCATTATGTTTTGAAAATCTAAATAAAAAAATGGACAAAATAAGACACCTCAAGCTAGCCTGATTGTAATTGCATGCTCTTGGTGCATACTGCCCATATTTTCGTTACAAATAAAGAGCATCACATGCCTTGGATGTCACATTAGAAACTTTACAGATGTTATTCCAACTCATCGCAAGGGATAACCACATTGGGGGGAAACAAAATTAAAAAAATAAACTAATTTATGACGAAAGTAATATGATCAAAAGCAATATTACATTAGGCCATGGTGGCTTCTCAATGTACTGCATCAATTATCTATGTTTTGGAAAAATTATTGAACAGGTTGAATCTAAGATCATAAATATATACGTGCAAGGGCCAGTGTGTGCAACTGTGTGCACAAGGAAGCCAAATACTGCAGTCAAACCAATGGTGTTAATATTGTACTGGACAGCATACCGTTATTGTCATTGGTATTGTATGTACTGGTATCAGCGCATTTCAAGGTACTGTTTCAGATTTATTGGTATAAATATTATATTTATATTTACATAATATGACTTTCACCTAATTTTAGAAAATTCATCTCTTTTTATCTTTTTATTTTAAAAATATTTACACTAAATATAAACATACAAGAATTACCACTCCAACAATGGAGATCTTATAATTGATTAACATAATAAAGAAGTACGCAACAGTATATCCTACATCTCCACCATCCAAGTCATTCTAAAATAGTAAAACAAACCAAAGCAAGCTGTTTGGCACACTTCCGAAATTACTGACTCTCGAGTTCCCCTCATTGATTCTTCTCTCTTTAAATCTCTATATATATATAATCTACATATCATATCAATCCATAAGAATCTTGATGTCCTAGTTTTGATTTATCATTTAATTTGTTTCGGAGAGCACCAAAGACTACCGGTAACACGTAAAATTCACTGGGTTTTGGAGAATGCTTCACAAGATTATTTGAAGGTGTGTCTTTACTGTATTGGGATTTAGTTTTTACTCTCTGATCTGGAGATAAGTCCTTACTCATGGTTCTTACCATGTTTTTCCTTTTTCTTTTGGTGAAAATAGATAATTTCAAATTAGAGTACCTTGCAACCCCAAAATTATAAAAGTTCATACCACCAAATTATTTACATAACAAAATTTTAAAAAATAGTTTTCAAGGTGAGTTTTATCAAATATTGATCCATGTTGTTTGTTATTAATATTATTTATAATATGTTTGTATTGTGTAGAGTTGCTTATATTTTTCTATTTGTTCTGATTTGTTACAATTCATGTTTTCTATTCCGAAGCCAATTATGTTTTCTTCCTATGCATCACATTTAAATTTGCTTATCCACTTATTTTGCATTCATTAATGTTTGTTCATTATCTAAAAGTAGAAATATTGTCTACATTTAACATGACATTCTAAAAAATTCGTTCATAAAATTTAATACTACTTATTGAAACGAATTATCATTTCATTCATAGACACATACGTTTTCAAAAATGAAAATTTTCAAAACTAAACTACTTAATAAAATGGAAGATGATTTTGTAATAAGTTACTTGATCACATTTATTGATAATACATTACTTGACGTTTTGATTCGAGCCTATCACAGATGATTTTATTTATAAAAAGTGCCGACAACAAAATTTTTAGATAGTTAACTTTAGTAGAGGGAGACATATAGTAATAGTCATTATTTTTGTCAAGTTAACACTGGGAAGAAAAATGTTTGATCATATTTTTGTGCTCAACTATGTTGACAAAAAATGTCTGATTTGTGTTGGTAGAAATCAAAATTTAAATTTTTACAATAAATTTTATTTAAGAGTTAAATGTGTTTTTGCCCTCCACATTTCAAATATTGGATCCGTCCAGAAAAACAGGAGTCAGAGCTAATAAAGCACCAGATATTTCGAATAGACTACGAAGGAAGTAGTAAAAATTTTAGATGTGGTACGTGTGGAACACAGCTCACATTATAGAATAACCAAGTCAATAGCAACATTAGCAAATATCACACATTACATTACACAAATAATACTACTCAATTAATCAAATCAACAATATTTGAGACACTACTTCACATATTCAGCATAATCACAATTGCACAAACCATACCAAAAATGTATAAGCAATTCCAACTATAGCTAGCTCAGATGCAGCAAATAGAACCAAAAATCAAGACTAAAAAACAACTAGATCCATAGATCTAATCACCAAAACCAATAAACCAAAAAACTCACAGTATTGCCGAGAGCAACGACGTTGAGGAACGTAGACTTCCGCCTGGACGGTGAGTTTTCGTCAACATCTTCGTCGGCAAGTAACGCAGCAGCTTGCCTCATAGAATCGGAAAGCTGAGCCAATTCCTCGATCGCATCCATGGATTCGCTGAATCAATCACTCAAACGAACAAACAAACACAAATTCAAATATATATAAATCAATGATGTCGAAATCGGATCGAAGGAGTGGGGATCGAGATTGTAGAGAGAGAGAGAATGGGAAACCCTAGGGAAGATTATAAGAGAGATCCAGTGGCGAAATATATGTGTGGGGGGGGTTCCGGCGGAAGGCCGGAGATTCTCAAAAGTGGAACTTTTGAAATTAGGAGAGAGAGAGAGAGAGAGATGAGAGGTGAATAGGAAGTCTATATGATGAAGGAAACAAAATAAATTTCAAAGCGAAATGTTCTCTCTCCACCTGTAATGAAACTGGAGTTATTCATTTTTTTTTTTTTTGTTTTTTTACTGATGTAGGGCCTCAGATTGGGAATTTGCCTTGTCAACTAAGGTTTTTAAATTTCAAATTTTTATTATTATTTTTTTAGAACGGAAAATTTCAAATATTTTTGAACTCGAATACCCCTTTTTTGGCTTAATTTAAGGCTAGTTTGACATGTACTAAAAAAGTCAAAAAGTCACTATCTTATTTAAGTCACATCATCTTATTTAAATCACATCACCTCTCTAACACATCACATCAAACCCAACCCAAACCCACCAATAAGTCAAAAAATACATTTTTTTATGACATCCCAAACCAACTTATAAGTATTGAGTTTTTTATTTTGGGAAATGACCACAAAATGGAATTTGCAATAAAAATTTAGGTAAATTATAAATATATTACTTGATATTTATTTAAAATACGAATCACTTACAAATAACTTTCTGTTATAATTTTTTATTTAACAGAATTAATTAAAAAGTTAAATTTCTAACTATTCACCTATATAATAATAAAATTATTTGAATTATTAATTGAAATAAAATTTTAACATTATTAAAAACTGTTAAACTTATTTGTTATGAAATTATAAACCTTTGGGGATATAATGTAATTTCTAAAGCACAAGGAAAATTTATAATTTAAGTAAATTTCAAGAGGTGTGTTTGTAATTCACCCAAAAATTTACTAAGAATTTGCCTGGGGATATTTTTTTTTGGTTTTTTTTTGTCAATTTAACCTCACTAAATTAGTTTTATTTGAGAATAATTTTTTGACTTTTTTTATTTTTTTATGAGAAAAAAGTAAAATTATTCTAATTTGAATGTAACATTTTGTGTTATTAATTTGTTTAGTCTATTTTGTCTTTTTATATTTTTTTTTTAGTCTCAACCTAAACCCAACTCACTTACCAAACGAGGGCTAATAGGTAATAATTTTTTGTGAAAGGGTAAATTACAAATACATCCCTTGAGATTTAGATATTTTTTTTTTGGTTTTTTTTGTCAATTTAACCTCACTAAATTAGTTCTATTTGAGAATAATTTTTTTACTTTTTTTATTTTTTTATGAGAAAAAAGTAAAATTATTCTAATTTGAATGTAACATTTTGTGTTATTAATTTGTTTAGTCTATTTTGTCGAAAAAAGTAAAATTATTCTAATTTGAATGTAACATTTTGTGTTATTAATTTGTTTAGTCTATTTTGTCTTTTTATATTTTTTTTTTAGTCTCAACCTAAACCCAACTCACTTACCAAACGAGGGCTAATAGGTAATAATTTTTTGTGAAAGGGTAAATTACAAATACATCCCTTGAGATTTAATTAAAATATGAATCGCTCTACGTAGTTTTGAAATTTACATTCCACCCCCTGAAGTTTCTAATTTTATAACAAATTGCCCTTTTATTAATAAACCATCAAGTCAATTAATTATTTTTAATGATATTAAAAATATGTTTCAATTAATAATTTAGGTAATTTTATTATTATATATAAGAGCAATTATGAATTTCATTTTTTTAGTTAATTCTGTTAACTAAAAAAATTTAATAAGGAGGTATTTATAATTTTTCAAATCACAATAAACAATCTATATTTTAAGCAAATCTCAAAGGTGTATTTGCAATTTACCCTTTGTGAAATTTCATTAAGGGTAAGAAATTTAAAAATTGTTTTACAAAATGGTTTTACCCGTGTTTTTTTTGCCTTGTACCACTAATTTCAATTTTTTTGTATAATTCTTTAGACACCTAATGTAATCGGAACTGCCATGTAGCTCGAATTGTCGAGCTCAAAATTGGCTCGAATCCAATTTCAGAAGCAGAGAAGGAAAATAGAAGAAAGGAGGAGGAGGATGAGGAGGACTGGAGGGGGCATAATCACAGGGGAGAAGAGAAGGAAAGAGGAGGATGAGAAGAAGGAAGAGGAAGGAGGAAGCGGAGGGGCTCAGCCGACGGCAGTGGTGCTGAGACGAAGGGGAGGGGCTCGGCAGGACCGGAGGCGACGGCGGTGGTGCTGCGACGATCACTGGTGCTGCGACGGCGCGGAGGGGCTCGACCGACGGCAGAAGCGGAGGGGCCCTCTCTTCTCTCCATTCTCTCTTCCCCTCCTCTTTCTTTTCTCCTCTTTTCTCTCCCTCTTTCTCCTCTATTTCAGACCACCCAAAACGCCAAAAACGACATTCGAGCCAATTTCGAGCCAAGATTTTCGAGCTACGGCTCATTTTCCTAATGTAATATCACATAACTAATCATCACCTTCTCAAACATTAACGTTACCCATTTCACCCATTCCAACTTCACCTACTCGCCAACCCTAGTTTTCACCATCCTTCACTACCTTTTTGCAACTCTGGTTATTATCCCCCAATCTCTCACTTTCTTTATTACCTTTTAAATGATCTCTTTCCATTGCCCTTTTACAACTCCAGTTGCCACCTCAACCCCTTTCCACCTTTTTTTTAAAATTTTTTTTAATTTTTTATCTCTTTAGTCCTCCATGTATCCCTTAAACGATATATCTCTCTTTCAATCGATCTCTTTTACTCTCTCATTCACATAATTGTAGAAGTAATGACATCGAAGGGTAAATATGCTTGATGTGGCACTAGAGGGTAAGGTGATTGCATGATGGGGATCATAAAGGTAAACAAATTATGGATAAAGGCTTCAAGAGTGAAAGATTGAGGAAGTAGAAGGTTGTAAACATCCCATTTTTTACCGCTCCTAAGACTTGAGCACCTCAGGTTGAACACTTGATGAATTAGTATGCTGTACAACATTCAATTTCCTCAACAAGAAACTTCGATTTTGAGTTTCAGAGTCTAAAACCTTGCACTCCCTTTGGACCAAAACTTTTTTTTTTTTTCTAACCTAACCACTTAGAGGCCTGTTAGCCAACAGGTGGCCGGTTGGCCAATTTTTAATGGTCGGTCGTCCCCCTACATGGCCGCCTGGCCATGTTTCCCGGCAGGCAGATATATGTTGCCAACTATCCCCCCTATGTGAATGTCTTGCACCAGTTGGCTCCATACAGATATTTTCAACTGAGAAACCTATTTTTCTATAAATAGAGGACTATCCCTCTTGGTTATAGGTTAGAAAAATTTACCAAGACTCCAAACCTTGCTAAGCACTCTCCCTCTCTATCTTACAATATACATACACTATGCATACACTTCCAAAACCAATATTTTGAGGCTCATTATTGAGATTATTAAGCTAAAATTTCAGCCCTTGAGAGTGAGCACTTTGTAGTTTGTGAACAAAAGTGTGTCTTCTCTTCAAAGGTATAACTCTTGCCATCTTTTGCCTACTCTTCACTCCTTTTTTCTTGGTATTTATACTCTGTTTTGGACTATTTTTGTAGATTGAAACTTGTGATGTAAAAGTTACTCAAGATGAAGGGGTTAACCACATTTTCTTAAACCTCACTACATAGCTTTTATCCTTGTGTTTCTCACTTGTTTCTCAACTTTTAGCTACTGATTTTCAAAGTTTTTAGAGGCTAAAACATGTGATTTTAAGGTCAAAAAAGTGGAGGGGTTAGCCACCCTTTCTTTGGCTTACTTACTAGCTTTAATTATCTCTCATTTTTGCTCACTTTTTTTAGTTTTTCATACTAATTTCCAGTACTGTTTTTGTTAGTTTTGGGGCTGTTTTAGTTGTTTATTTACTTTATGCTTTGAATATCATAATTGTATTGTTGTCAGTGCTCATATATTTGGTAGTTTAGGCCTTAGATACCAATCTATTTGAGTTGATGGCTTTTATTCCATACTTTTTCTACATATACTCACACTTGTAATAATCATCTCTGTAATTTCCCTCATTTATTGGTTTTCTTTCTTTTTTTTAAGAGTTGTTTCAAATAATTTATTATTGTTCAAGGCATGAGAAAGAGACTTTCCATGTTTAATGGTTTAATCTCGTCAGAGGTTCATTACCAGGGTATTACATCTTTTTCATGCTAAGTACAACTTATTGTTTCACATTTCTCTTCATTAGTGGACATAATTATCACTTTTAGACAAAAATGAATAAAGAATGGCGAGGTGATGTGGAAGAGGTTAAAATTGGACTAAAAGTGGTAACAAGAGTAATAGAATTAGTTTAGGTTCAATTAGACGTTATATTGAACCTATTGCGTCTCAAGTCATTACATACTCTTTAGTGATGTTAATGATTCAAGAAGTAATGTTTATGACTTCCCTTGAGGTAACTCCATGATAGGGAGGAGGTTTTGTTGGTCTTTTATTTCCATTTATTGAATTTTTGTCCCATCGAATCATAGATCATCATGCAATGAGTTTGCGTTAATTGATGATTTGTGAATCGAGTTTACCCCTCCCTTGATCAGTTTCATAATAGGGAGAGACAGAAAGGATAAACATCCCCTAGAAACACTCTGGCTGTGTTTGGTTATGTTTGTCAAACACATTTCCAACCATTTTCATGAGTATGGTGTTTGTTTTGAGTTTTCAAATTATAATTCCAAATCCACTTTTAAAAACTCCTTACTAAGTGGGAAAACTTGGCTAACCCAGACGTCCGGCCGATTGACTGGGCGGTTGACCGGAACAGTGTTCAGTTTTTTTTTTTTTTACACATGTTATTTTTATATTGTAAATAAAAAATACTTTCGGAATTTTTTTTTATTTTTTATATGAGCTTTGAATAGAATTTTAGGTTGTATGTTTGGTTATGAGTTGTAAATTTTTGAATCAAATAACTTTTCTAATTTCAAAAATCTCAAAACTCTCTCCAAAACTCATAACTAAACAAATTTTCCACACTCAAATCATAATTCCAAAACGCACAAACTCAAAATACAACTCTATTATCAAATCATATTTAGAAAACTCTACCAAATGCTATCTATGTTTTTGCTCTGTTTCATTTTTGTGGCAGCATGGCAGTACCAAAAAACAGTGGCCGACCGGCCAC